TCAAGTTCTGGATGACAAGACTAGTTTAAACTCTTATAATATCTTTATTCTCTGCTTCTTCTAACATATTATGTACAAAACGGAAGACTCCGTAATTAGCTTGTGTTGAGGGAGCCATGTCCTAGCTTTGCATAAATGTGCCAACTCTCGGGCGTTCCGTCTCGTGCCGAGCCGAGGCGCCCACGGCCTCACTTCTCGTCTCCTGGCCGGACCCGACTGTCGATTCGTTTCTTCTCTGGGCTTAAAAATCCTTCCAGACAAAGGAACTGGCTGATGTATCATCTATCATATCAGGTTTAACATTTGCTTATCATCAAAGAAAGTTTAAATAAGACATGCCAACAAGGTAAGGTTAACTAATCGTTACATAATCAAATAGACCAAGAACTCCAGGGATGTCGATAGCGAACAGGTGTCAAGTTGGCAGGAAGCGTCTATAACATCAGGTAATCTGTTTGCTGCACGGGACTATTGTTAGCCTATAAATAGATACGTGGATGACAGAAAGGTAGTTCTCTCTGATCTAATAGAAAGTGTTTACGTTAATGTGCACGCATAAGATTCTTCGGCAGTTTGGATGCGATGAACAATAGACACAGAAGCCGTTATCCGGTCACAATTTCCCCTAGTATCCAGTCACAATTATCCTGGTTGGTAGAAAACTTCATTTAATTTCGTTCTATAGTGTAACTTTGTAACTTTCTTTCAACCAACAGTAACTATTAATCAAAATCAAGCATTGTAAAACTGTTTTCTATACCGGCACTGTTAATCATTATCTCAACGTCTTCTCCGATCTATTTTCGAACAAACTTTTTCGCTTCGCTGAAAACACAACAGGCAATCAGCAACAAGATGTCGGCTGTTGGGCTGTTGCGGTCCATCTTATAGCCACAATGATCCGCAGTGAATATTCACTAGGCCGCGACAATCACTGATAAGGATGACATCGATGCAACTTAATGAGCCACAAATATTAACTCTTTTCCTCCGACAAATTAAATTCTAAAACATTTTTCATGTATTAGAAAAAGCAATAAACACGTTTGACGTATTTGTAGGTAAAAATTATTTCCTATTTTAGTCTAAATGGGTATTAAAATGAGTAAAAGGCCCCATTCTGCTCGAATCAGTAGCGTCTTATGTAAGCAATGCACGCACCATTGAGCCAATGATTGACGCTGCGTGATATGGCGTCATGTGTTGAAGGCAGTCATCTTTTACAGAAATATTAGAAGACTTTCGTCATACTCTGAGAAACAGATTGTCTTATAGCATGACTGTTCACGTCAAGACGAGCCTCGCTTCGCTTTCCCTCGAGTCGCTCCGGTTACCTCCCTATAATCGTTAGCTTGTTAATGTTTTCGCTTGCTTTGCATTGCTTACTTCGCTAGCGTCAGTATGTGCTGCTAAAAACACGTCCCCTTCTGCAAAACGGTTAGGTGGACACCATTGAAATCTAAGTATAGGGTAACGCACAAATGTACGTAACTCGGCCATATAAGACGAAACGAATTTAGGTAAGCCTGGGGGGAAAATGGGGTCTTACAGGCGACCCTTCTCCTTGTCACGTACAACCCGGGAATCGAAACCACGCCAGTTCACTCAATGACAGACCTTATGATGCAACGCGCATGCGCTAACCATTCGCCCCCCCCCCCCCAAAGATATGTGGCAGCGGTAATGCTTTAAACCATTCGGCCATTGCAATTAATAAGAGACGATATTGTATAGTATAATATCACAGTGCTATTTATTATATCATATAATCAGTAGTCTATTATATTATACATATCATGTAACATCAAGATCTTATCACATACATCTCATACCACCCAACAATATTCCTAAATCAACGGTTACCAACACTACTAGCTTATTAACCATTACTTCATACAGTAGTCAATATCTTATCACATAGCTTATTAACCATTGCTTCATCATACAGCAATTAGGGGTGATTATTTTGACTGACCAATCAAATTTATGTGATCCCTAATCAAGGGAGCTAATAAAAGACTTAAAACGATACTGAATTATCTGAATTCAGCCTGTTAACCAGTAAAGTTATCTGAATTCAGCGTGTTAATCGAGTGTAAACCTCTGTTAAATCACCGAAGTTATCATTGTATGTAGACAACCAAGCCTACTGGCTAGTTCATTCTTATATTATTTCAATTTATCAAAAATAAGTTTCAACCCAATGTGCCATGAAGTATGCTAATGGTGTCACAATAATTGGCTTACGTTATATGACCTTGACATTGTTAAAATGAGATAACGTGTATTATAATCAACTTATTGTATGTATTATAATTATATATTTTGTATATACAAAGCTCTATGACGTCATTATAGTATGACATCATGGATTGCTGCTAAACAACTAAATACTGTGTAGTTTTTTCTAATCCGTCCACAGACTTTGACTTCAGTAATGTAATAAGCGACCTGTCCTATATTATAATTCAACACTTACAAAAAAATTCTAAAAATATAAAGTGGGAATTATCAAATGGATAATGTTATTACAAGTTGTAGATTTTACAGCCGGACATTTAAGAAATGTGTCGGATATTTTTAACACCAGTCAATGTCTGGGAGTAATATTAAAAATGACAGCCCTACTCACAACCTGGCTTATTCCAAACAAGAAATCTGGCGTTTTACAAACCGGTTTTAAATTCTAAACAAAATTCATAAATACATATGCAATCTAAAACATAACGGCTGCTGCAAAAAAAACAAAACAACCATTCCGAATCTTATAGCTGTAGACAACCAACAGTCCTTATTACGGCTAGAGCCTTATACTGAGTTTTCGGATAAATCAACCAGCATGCAGTTTTCAAATACATCTTATGGCTGTAAGCTACAATCCTTATTATAGCTAGAGCCTAAATTCACAGAAATATAATACATGTTTAATTAAAGTAAATATATATGGTTTAGAAACAGATTCAACATAAATACCTTGTCAACAATTTTATTAATAAATCATTAATATTTACAAATAACCATGATGGTTTAAAATCGATAATTTCAACCGATATTATTTTAATAAATAACAACTATTTGTATCTATTTTTATCTTTCAATTTACCAGAACATTTTCCTTATAAAAGCCACCTTGATATTTGTTCAAAATTACTTCTCCTTTTTATTTGATAAAAGAAATCAGTTTTTCATTTTCGTTTAAAAAAAATATAAAAATATTAATATCCACCTCAGACTGATCTAACATTAACACATATCATTGGTCAATGCTATATCATCACCCAGCATTATATGGAAAAGGGGCGGAGCTTATTATTATTATATATAAATTGATGGTTGATATTAAATATAACATATACAATATAGATCATAATATATAAATTGATGGTTAAAGCCATAGTTTCATGTTTTCTATAAAAAAAAAAGTCAAAACATAATTTTTATATATACTATTCAAAAAAAGTAGGGGATATTTGATTTTTAAGTGTTATTAAAGTCACCTAATGAAACTGACGAAGAAACAAATGACAAAATGAAATGAAGTTCACATTCATCGATTTATTCCAAATGATCGTTAGACTAAGTAAGGCACAGACTGACCATTATAAGGGTAAAATGATACCCGGGGTCAAACAGCAAAATTACCACAGCATCACAACCAAGTCAGTAACGGGTAAATCCTCCTCTGTTTGCCAAACAAGCATTGATCCGACGTGGCATACTCCTAATGAGACGTCTAAGGTCATTTTGGTCCAGATTGTCCCATTCCTGTTGCAACGCAGCAGCAAGTTCTTGGACATTGGCAGGGCGTTGTTGACGTTGACGTAACCTCTGTCCAAGCATGTCCCAGACATGCTCGATGGGGGAGAGGTCGGGACTCAGTGCTGGCCAAGGTAATGTGGTGATGTTCTGTTGTTGGAGGTAACCTGTAACGATCCTGGCCCTGTGACATCTTGCGTTGTCATCCTGGAAGATGAAACGGCGGCCATGACGTCGTGCGAACGTCACAACATGGACTGCCAAGATGTTGTCCCGGTAGTACTGGCCTGTAACACGCCCTGCAACAACATGTAAAGCCGTTCTTCCAGCAACAGTGATGTCTCCCCACACCATAACAGAACCACCCCCAAATCGATCATGTCTGATGACGTTAACGTCTTGGAAGCGCTCGTTTCGACGACGCCACACCCTCCTACGTCTGTCCAAAAAATCAACAGTGAACCTTGACTCATCTGAAAACATCACATTGCTCCAGCGTCGATTATCCCAGTGTTGACGATCCCTACACCAACGACGTCTTGCCTGAATGTGATGATCTCTCAAACAAGGGATCACGCGAGGACGTCGGGCGCGAAGGTGACCCCTATGCAGTCGATTCCGAATCGTCTGGCCACTCACTCTCACACCAGTGTCTGTTTGAAGACGAGCGCTGATCTGATTTGCTGTGATGACACGATTTCTCAAGGCCACGGTACGGATAAATCGATCCTGGGCTTGAGTTGTCGCCCTAGGTCGACCTGAGCGTGGTCTGTCCTGTACAGATTGTGTATCACGGTATCTGGACCATAGCCTGCTTATGACAGACTGAGAAACATTCATCGTCCGCGCCACAACCGCCTGTGTTGTGCCGATCTGTAGCATGCCAAGGGCACGTAACCTTTCATTTTTGGTAAGCCGACGCATATCAAAATTTGTTTTCTGGTCACTAAAACAATTAAACTGATGTTTCCACCCTGGAATTCAATGCCACAATGACTGTAACATTCAAAGTCAGAGTCGTGCAAATCTTGGGTTGGAACCCCATGATGATCCCAAGCATCACCTGCATTCCATGCGGTAGCTATTGGTGCGTTTGGGCGTCACATGTAACTGGAAATGTTTCTTCTATTAGGTTCTATAGTGACTTTTTTCGTAGTCATTTGCATATTTTAGTATTATGCCCCCAAAATCAAATATCCCCTACTTTTTTTGAATAGTATATGAATTGATGGTTGACATTAAAGCGATAGTTTCATACATAATTATTTCTATATCTATTGCTTGAATATCATTCACATAAAAATTTGATATATATTTTCTACTCGCCCACGGTACTTAGTAAACTTTAATCAGAATAACAGTAGCCTAATTATTAACGCCTGTCAATGACAGTAATTTCATTAATTGTTACTTGAATTGTAAAGTTTCCATTATCATCAATAAATCCACTGTCAGGGTCATTGACATATGACAGGTCAATAAGTTTACCACAGTATAATCCACCACCAGGTCTGGCAGTATCAACACATTGTTTAACCACAGATTGTCTATCATCATTTTTATTTATAATTTTACATGTGACGTCAACTTTACATGACGTAATACTTTTATCTTCCACGTCATGCAGGTTTAACCCAACAAATAATGATGTGCTTCTAGTTACACTGATACTCCATGTAAAACCTGAAACTACTTGTTGTTTACCATAATTCCAACCACTACCTCTCACACCTTCCACAGTAAAAATATCTTCAATCATAATCTGATGACAACTTACAATTTTACCAAGTTGATTAGTTAACAACGTTTTATCTATCTCTGCTACTTGAAATGTTGAATATCTTACACCAGGTATATCCAATTTTCTACAACAACTTTCATCTTTCTCCTGTCTAACTTTAGGTAATCTTTGCAAAACTTCAACAATGGCCGAATCTTCTAAAACATTGACTGAATATTTAACACTAGCTTTTAAATCTTCTGTTAGTCTTTTAATATCCTCCATCAAATTCCGGCATTTGGATTCTTCCTCTTCACTAGTTTTTTGCATTTCCTTTTTAATATTTTCTCCAATTTTACGAAATTCTGAGCAGACTTTATCCACCTGTGCATCTACTCTGTCACATTCAGTTTTTGTAACTTGTTTGACTTCCATTAGTTTACTATTCAAATTATCATAATGTTTCTCAAAACGTTTAATTTGTGTTTCTAATTCATCATTCAGTGTTCTTAAATCCTGTCTCATATTTTGTCTGACTTCCTCCTCCTGTAAATCTAAATAATTGTGTCCGTTATGATTGGCCACGAAACATTTCCAACACATGGCTAGTGAACAGTCTTTACAGTACATTGTAATTTCCTCTCCTTCGTGATGGCGGCAAAACTCTTTATGATCTGTGACTGAAGTGACTGGTGTACTTTCGTTCTTTGGCCTTGATTGTTGGCCAATTTGGTATTCATCATATCGATAAGCAACATGGTCTTTACAAGACTTTAACTTATCATGCATGGTTTTACACGATTTACACAAACATTGATCGCAGTCTTGACAAAAATATTGAGATATATCTTCAGTACATACATCACATTGTGGAATATTATTTGGAGAATGGTCCGCAATGTATGGTTTGGATCTTAATTGGTTAACGCCACCAGTAGGGATTTGTATTAAACAACGACACAATGGACAAATGAACTGGTCATTAGTTGAGGTTTTCTTCACATAATCGTCTAAACAACTGAAACAGAACGAATGGTGACAGTCCACTTTTACAGGTTGCTGAAAGTTGCTCAAACAAATACTACAAACTTCCTTGTCTGTTTTTTCAGCCATGGTGAATTACTGATTGTTACACTGGTTGTACACCACACGAGCTAAAACTGTTCACAAGTACACTTCTTGGTCTGTCTGTTCAGCCATGTTGAATTACTGTTTGTTACACTGGTTGATTGTTACACTGGTTTTATACCACACGAGCTGCAACTGTTCACAAATACAAAAACAAACGAATAGGTCTATGTAATATACGCTATCGAGACGGGAGACTTAAAAAAAACCAAAAAAAACCCCACATGTATAATATACAAACTGAAACTCTTCAAAAATACAAAACCAAAACGAGTTGGTCAAAAAAATATACGCCATTAAACACGACAGTTAACTGTCTATAGGATAAAATGTCAAAATCAGCCATCCACTAACAGTGTACATACACGGTTTTGCTACCGTTTCTTAGAAACTCAGCTTGACTTTCTTAGAAACTCAACTTTTCGTTTCGTATTGAATTACTTCATGTCACAATACAATTGTATATATGTGATAGGTCACGTGTTTAGTGGTGTATAATGCTATTCACAATAATTCTATTGCAAGCCAAAGTTCAGCTTACGTTTTATCATTCACGTGTTTAGGGCTGCCTATATATATAGTTAAAGTATTATTAACAGGTCGCATGTTTAGTGTAAAATGTAGGTTATTAAATAATATGATAGCGGGATATAGCAACGATACAACTGTATTATTACGTGAATATATTGCAAGCTTGTCGTAGAATATAGGTTATTAGATAAAATGAAAGACGATACTATGATCAATATAATACAGATGGGATTGTATTTAGACATTGAAATGACCTTTTCTATAAAACTGTACGTCAGATAGACACGTTGATCCGTATGCCCCGATTACAGTTTTATTTCGTTTCATCTTTATTATTCTCGTTTCACTATTTTATAAGATATATTTAATACATTTTGTTTGCTGCACGGGACTATTGTTAGCCTATAAATAGATACGTGGATTACAGAAAGGTAGTTCTCTCTGATCTAATAGAAAGTGTTTACGTTAATGTGCACGCATAAGATTCTTCGGCAGTTTGGATGCGATGAACAATAGACACAGAAGCCGTTATCCGGTCATAATTTCCCCTAGTATCCAGTCACAATTATCCTGGTTGGTAGAAAACTTCATTTAATTTCGTTCTATAGTGTAACTTTGTAACTTTCTTTCAACCAACAGTAACTATTAATCAAAATCAAGCATTGTAAAACTGTTTTCTATACCGGCACTGTTAATCATTATCTCAACGTCTTCTCCGATCTATTTTCGAACCAACTTTTTCGCTTCGCTGAAAACACAACAGGCAATCAGCAACAAGATGTCGGCTGTTGGGCTGTTGCGGTCCATCTTATAGCCACAATGATCCGCAGTGAATATTCACTAGGCCTCGACAATCACTGATAAGGATGACATCGATGCAACTTAATGAGTCACAAATATTAACTCTTTTCCTCCGACAAATTAAATTCTAAAACATTTTTCATGTATTAGAAAGAGCAATAAACACGTTTGACGTATTTGTAGGTAAAAATTATTTCCTATTTTAGTCTAAATGGGTATTAAAATGAGTAAAAGGCCCCATTCTGCTCGAATCAGTAGCGTCTTATGTAAGCAATGCACGCACCATTGAGCCAATGATTGACGCTGCGTGATATGGCGTCATGTGTTGAAGGCAGTCATCTTTTACAATAATATTAGAAGACTTTCGTCATACTCTGAGAAACAGATTGTCTTATAGCATGACTGTTCACGTCAAGACGAGCCTCGCTTCGCTTTCCCTCGAGTCGCTCCGGTTACCTCCCTATAATCGTTAGCTTGTTAATGTTTTCGCTTGCTTTGCATTGCTTACGTCGCTAGCGTCAGTATGTGCTGCTAAAAACACGTCCCCTTCTGCAAAACGGTTAGGTGGACACCATTGAAATCTAAGTATAGGGTAACGCACAAATGTACGTAACTCGGCCATATAAGACGAAACGAATTTAGGTAAGCCTGGAGGGAAAATGGGGTCTTACAGGCGACCCTTCTCCTTGTCACGTACAACCCGGGAATCGAAACCACGCCAGTTCACTCAATGACAGACCTTATGATGCAACGCGCATGCGCTAACCATTCGCCCCCCCCCCCAAGATATGTGGCAGCGGTAATGCTTTAAACCATTCGGCCATTGCAAATAATAAGAGACGATATTGTATAGTATAATATCACAGTGCTATTTATTATATCATATAATCAGTAGTCTATTATATTATACATATCATGTAACATCAAGATCTTATCACATACATCTCATACCACCCAACAATATTCCTAAATCAACGGTTACCAACACTACTAGCTTATTAACCATTACTTCATACAGTAGTCGATATCTTATCACATAGCTTATTAACCATTGCTTCATCATACAGCAATTAGGGGCGATTATTTTGACTGACCAATCAAATTTATGTGATCCCTAATCAAGGGAGCTAATAAAAGACTTAAAACGATACTGAATTATCTGAATTCAGCCTGTTAAACCAGTAAAGTTATCTAAATTCAGCGTGTTAATCGAGTGTAAACCTCTGTTAAATCACCGAAGTTATCATTGTATGTAGACAACCAAGCCTACTGGCTAGTTCATTCTTATATTATTTCAATTTATCAAAAATAAGTTTCAACCCAATGTGCCATGAAGTATGCTAATGGTGTCACAATAATTGGCTTACGTTATATGACCTTGACATTGTTAAAATGAGATAACGTGTATTATAATCAACTTATTGTATGTATTATAATTATATATTTTGTATATACAAAGCTCTATGACGTCATTATAGTATGACATCATGGATTGCTGCTAAACAACTAAATACTGTGTAGTTTTTTCTAATCCGTCCACAGACTTTGACTTCAGTAATGTAATAAGCGACCTGTCCTATATTATAATTCAACACTTACAAAAAAATTCTAAAAATATAAACTAGGAATTATCAAATGGATAATGTTATTACAAGTTGTAGATTTTACAGCCGGACATTTAAGAAATGTGTCGGATATTTTTAACACCAGTCAATGTCTGGGAGTAATATTAAAAATGACAGCCCTACTCACAACCTGGCTTATTCCAAACAAGAAATCTGGCGTTTTACAAACCGGTTTTAAATTCTAAACAAAATTCATAAATACATATGCAATCTAAAACATAACGGCTGCTGCTGCAAAAAAAAAAAACAACCATTCCGAATCTTATAGCTGTAGACAACAGTCCTTATTACAGCGAGAGCCTTATACTGAGTTTTCGGATAAATCAACCAGCATGCAGTTTTCAAATACATCTTATGGCTGTAAGCTACAATCCTTATTATAGCTAGAGCCTAAATTCACAGAAATATAATACATGTTTAATTAAAGTAAATATATATGGTTTAGAAACAGATTCAACATAAATACCTTGTCAATAATTTTATTAATAAATCATTAATATTTACAAATAACCATGATGGTTTAAAATCGATAATTTCAACCGATATTATTTTAATAATTAACAACTATTTGTATCTATTTTTATCTTTCAATTTACCAGAACATTTTCCTTATAAAAGCCACCTTGATATTTGTTCAAAATTACTTCTCCTTTTTATTTGATAAAAGAAATCAGTTTTTCATTTTCGTTTAAAAAAAATATAAAAATATTAATATCTACCGCAGACTGATCTAACATTAACACATATCATTGGTCAATGCTATATCATCACCCAGCATTATATGGAAAAGGGGCGGAGCTTATTATTGGCCCTCGGGATATGAATACTAATGTATTAGTTAGGTAGAAATAAAGAAGCATAACACGCCCTAACCCTAGCTGACAGCTGTCAATCAATCTGTAATCATCAATATGTAAGACAACTGTAGGGAGCTAATCCCCCCCCCCCCTTAACCCTAGCTGACAGCTGTCACTCAATCTGTAATCATGAATATGTAAAACGACTGTGGGGAGCTAATCCCCGCCCTAACCTTGAAGCAATTGATATATAATCTAGATACATGATTAATCCAACACTGAGTTGAATAATTAACTAGATGAGATCTTAACTAGTGAATATATATTGTAGAATTTGGTTCCAGCAGCACTGTTTATATAATAATCATACCGTGCCCCTCCCCCCCTTTATTCTTCAATAGATATATATATATATTAATCAGAGATATAATAATATTTAACATATTAAACATTATGCTTGAAATTATACAGAACAATTTGGATATATGTAAATATTATAAACAATATTAGAGTTGGTGACAAACCATAAAAAACAACACGTTGTAGCCAGAGAATATAAACAACATTTCACAATGTCCATGTGTATTGTCACAAGTCGTTTTCATGCAAGAAGCATTGAGTATTTATTTATCAACAAAAAACAGCATTTATTTAATTCAATGACCTTGGTTTTTTTCCTTCAATGACCTTTAGAGCAGGCCTGAAAATAACGATTTTAGATGTACCTGACAAAATGTCAGGCACTAATGAAATATTACCTCAAATTTTCAACTTAGTGTCGGACATGTACATGTATTAATAATATCAATAAAAAAGACAAATCAGTGCCGGTCAAAATGACAGGCACCAGCGGTTTTGTGTCTGACAAAGCCTGAATCTATGTCTGACATTGTCTGTGACAGGTGCCTGATTTCCAGGGTTGCTTTAGAAAGAGATACAAATATTTCCCCGTTTTCATTAACCCAAATGGAACAGAGCGAGATGCCGTTAATTAAACTTTATTTCATTTCTTAGTTCATGAAACGTATCACATGATGTTGACTCTTACTACAGGTCTCTTTACCACACCACGTGATGTGACTCTTACTACAGGTCTCTTTACCACGTGATGTTGAAACGCGTCAATTCTCTTGAGGATTTAGCTCGTTACAAATCAACTACTAATTAAAGATACATTATGGGAGATTAGATAAAGAGCTGGCAGTTCTTACTATAATAGTTAAAAACTAGATAATGTAACGGGAATTTGCTGGAATTTTCAGTCAAATTGGTCCTCTCTGAACCAAGAATTTAGCGATTGAATTTTGGCCTAGCCTTGATCATCATTACTAAAGTTGGTACGCTAAAAAACATAGTCTTTATTATCTATTTCATGATTAAATCATGAATGAAAGTTTAGCAGCAAATCGGATTATAATCCAGTAAATATCGTTGGCTAGCCATGACATCAAGATTTGTGATTATGATCTGGATAAGTTAATTAATGTCTAGATAACATTTCAGACCTAAAGAAAGACCTGCAATAGGCAGATTTAGCTCTTGCATAATGTATGTCTAAACAATCAATCATAAAAACAGGTGCCCTATCTATTAATTTAATATATATGTACATAACGAACAAAGGTATAACATACTATAAAAGTGGCAGAAACTATATTTTCTTAAATTTATCTAAAGCTTCCAGCAATGAAGCTGACTAGCAAGAGAGATCATAGCAAAAATATAAATGCAATAATACGAAAATAATATACATAAGATATGTTTCCGGGATCGTAAATCGTACCATATTGAAATAAGGAGACAAAAACCCTTTAAAGAAAGAGACAAGATACCCTTTAAAGTGTGTCTCACAAATGGTAACCTAATGAAAGAAACATTTCTGTGATAAGCTAGGTATCTAATATAGAACCTGAATCACATGAATAACACTGAGTAGTAACCAAGTCATAAATAGGCTATAAACATGTAAAATGATGGTACAAAAAAAAATATGAACAAATTTTAATAAATAATCGAAGAAGAAATATTCTTGGGAGTTAAAAAAAACCCACAATGTTTCCAACAAAGGAAGAGAACTCTACACCAATTCAGGGGGAGAGAACTCTATTTACACTGTGTCAATACGATCAGCTTCTGGTGTATCTTGTTGAAAATCATTGTTTTGATAAATATCAATTCCTTGAACACGTGGCATCTGATTGCCCTGACCTCCTTGGTTTCCTAGGTTACCAGAAGCTGAAGATTCTGGTTGCTGTGAAACACTTGGTACTAGATGAGATGGACTTCCGGGTGCACGATGTGATGCAGCTGAATTGACACCGTTTAAATCAGCAGGACATTCAAAATGAACACAGTGAAAAACCTAAAACAAAATATAAATATTTCATGATTTTGGTTTATCTTGTGACCATCAGGTCTGTCATCCAGCCCCCAGCCCCCGACCATTGTGACTATACTGTTCGCCAACACCGATAATTCCGCTCAGAATGAAATAATTTGACTGAAATCTTACATAATGCATCTTGAGTTAATTAGTTTTTCTGAAATTGTGCATGGTTTTGGACTAGTGGATATTTCCCCAATGAAATTAAACATGTTGCCAACATTGTTATTTTGATCCATTACAGCATTTTGTAAACCTCACGAATGTGAAACAGCCACATAACTTCTTGTTCCGATTTTACGATTTATGGTGAAATTAAACTTACCTCGTTAGCCGAGTTGTGTGTACCGACTATTCTTATAAAAGCTACAGGTATCGGAGCAAATTCTATTAACTGCCACGCCCTGAAATACATTTAACAAAAGCTACAGAGAGAGAGAGAGATGGGGTTTAATGTCCACTTGTTAAAACTAGGTCATCTCGAGATTAACATATGGTTCAATTCTATTACAGAGAGAGAGAGAGAGAGAGAGATATGGGGTTTAACGTCCACTTGTTAGAACAAGGTCATCTTGGGACTAACATATGGTTCAATTCTATTTCAATAATTTACTTGCATATAGGGTCTTTAGCAATGTGAGGAAACCGGAAAAAACCCACAAGGTTTGACAGACGAGCCCACTCCTGAGCCCACTCCTTGTCGCGTACATGCTTGGAAGTGAAAACCATGTCATTTGACTCAATGACAGACTTAGTGGGGTGAGACGATTTACCCAGTACTACCCAATACCACCACAACACCACCTCATACTACCCAATACTACAACATAATGATATAGGGAGGCAAATGGAACAGCCAGACATCCGTAATCACATTTGAAGTACATTTCCCACAATATATCTCACTATTTTTGAAAAAAATCAAGAAATATGCTCATTAGACACCATTAGTATTGGGTAGTATTTGGTGATATTGGAGTGGTATTCGGGTGGTATTGGGTAGTATTGGGTAAATCGTTCCGCCAGACATAGTGATTTAACACGCACACTACTGATTGTTACATGTACGTACAAGCTTGGGAGTCGAACCCACGCCACTTTACAGATCAATCTGATTAAAATACAGATCTATGAAGATCTGACTGGTTGTAGCGATAGGTCGCATCAGAGGTCATACGAGCAGCTTTCAACCCTATGACAGTAGATATTTGATTAACCAATCAGCACTGATGTTACTAGTGGATTACCCACAGCTCAGTGCAAAACACGCCTAAAGTTCGCCGTAACAGACCGTTTCATTGGCTAATAGCTCACATCATTCAGAACACGTCAATGATAACGACTCTTCCAGAGTCTAGTGTAGTCAAGACAAGTAAAACGAAATTTTGAATTATAAAAACAAAACGAAATATGATCTGTGTTTTAACCAGATTGCTTGACAGACCTTGTGATCAAAAAAAAAAATAATCAAAATGTAATAGGGTCAAGCAATTGGGATAATGAATGCTGCACTGCAATGGGGTCTAACCGCCACGCGACACAAACTGGGTCATTTCAGGACTAGGATCTGGTTCAATTTTATTTCAATAAATCGCTTGAGCGTAGGGGTCTTTAGCATTGATGGGAAACCAGAGGACCTGGGAAAAAACTCATGAGGTTGGACAGGCGACCCTATTCTTTGTCATGTACAACCCGGGATTTGAAATGAAATGAAATGAAATGGAGTTTAACGTGCTACTTTTCTGCTCCTAACCTGGGCTAATGAAGACGGGCATACGCCATACAGTGTGCTATGAGGGAAATTTTGCCCGGACAGCGGCACTACGGCCTACTCTTATATCGAATTCCAACTGCCAAGGGATCTTTTACGTGCACGCCAATGTGTACACGGGACCTCGGTTTTTCGTCCCATCCGAAAGACTAGACAGCTTCCCTTGTCAGCCCCTCCGTCCTGCATCACTGACAAGGGAGAAGCACGCCGGAAAATCTGGATGAACTTTCTCGGCCACTGCAGGGATCGAACACCCGACCTCCAGGCTCTGGGATTTGAAACCATGACGCTTAACTCAATGACGTGCACACGATAAACAATATCAAATCAAGGGAAAGCATCTGGGGGCCAGCTGTAAGCGTCTACTGCAGGCCTGTAAAGAACGATGAAATTAAATAAACATACTTGCACATTTCTCTTTGTTTATCAGCCACCATTGTCCAGGTTTGGTGATCGACTGATACCTCGATATAAAAACTATAACTACGATCATCACAATCCCATAATAATAATCTGAAGAGAAAAAAAATAATATTCTCTTTTAGTATCTATAGAGCATCGATTCTCAGCCAGTGTGCCGTGAGATCTTCCTAAGTGTGCGTGAAATTTTGAACAGCACACTAAGAAAATGCAAAAAACCATGTGATCCCAAATGAGTATTCACTGGTGCCTACTAATAAGTTCATAGCAGTGATTCGCAACCAGTGCGCCGTGAGATCTTCCTAAGTGTGCCGTATAATTTTGAACGGCACACTAAGTAAATGCGAAAAAACATGTAATCCCAGGACTTACATGTGGTACAATTTTAGTTCAATAAATTTATTGTCAGAGGGGGGGGGCGGGGGTACACATTAATAACATGTAGTACAAATTCCATTTCAATAATTTTATTGTCAAGTACAAGCATTGGATTGAAACCACATCACATGACTCAGTGACAGATCTTGTGATCTAAAGTACACGCATTAGATTATTTGGCTATCCAAATCCTCCACCCGACATCCCCTGAAATATAGGGCCATAATTATAATTACACTGCTATCACACTGCTATTTTCTATTGAAATAGGGGTATATCATCCACTAATATAGTTTTTAGACATCGAGAGAGGAGGATATGATATATTAAAATCGGGACATATAATCAACTAATATAGTTTTTAGACATCAAGAGAGGAGGATATGATGAATTGAAATCGGGGTATATCATCCACTAATATAGTTTTTAGACATCAAAAGAGGAGGATATGATATATTGAAATCAGTGTATATCATCCACTAATATGGCTTTTAGACATCAAGAGAGGAGGATATGATATATTAAAATCAGGGCATATTATCCACTAATGTAGTTTTTAGACATCAAAAGAGCACAGCTACCCAAACCCCCCATGAGAATTTTGGTCCAATCAATGAAGAAGTGAAGATGCGTACATATAAAATGATATATTTTACCTCATAGAACTAATGACATATGGTTGTGCCAGTTGAATGACAATAGCTCCACTACCCAATTGATGACACGTATAACCAGAATCCCAATCGTAGTTCTTAACATCTCCATTGATTAACGCGTTACGACTTCTACTCACACCTTCTATCACCACAGCACTGTTTTTGATTGTTGCTACGTTCTCCGTCGGCACTGTAAACATAAACAAAATAAGACATTTTATCTTTTAGACCTTTTATCCAATAAATAGGGTTTATCACCGGACTTGATAACTATACCTACTAGACCGTTATCCAATATTAAGGGTCTATTAACAGACAACGAGACTTGATAACTTACCTACTAGTCCTTTATCCAATATAAAGTGTTTATTACAAGACAACGAGAGACTTGATAACTTTTCCTACTAGACCTTTATCTTTTAGACCTTTCATCCAATAAATAGGGTTTATTACCGCACTTGATAACTTACCTACAAGACCGTTTTCCAATATTAAGGGTCTATTAACAGACAACGAGAGACTTGATAACTTACCTACTAGTCTTTTATCCAATATTAAGGGCCTATTACCCGACTTGATAACTTACCTACTAGTCCTTTATCCAATATCAAGGGCCTATTACCAGACTTGATAACTTACCTACTAGTCCTTTATCTAATATCAAGGGCCTATTACCAGGCAACAAGAGACTTCATAATTTACCTACTAGACCTTTACCTAATATCAAGGGTTTATTACCGAACTTGATAATTTACTTACTAGACCTTTATCCAATATAACGGGTTTATTACCGGACAACAAGAGAATTGATAACTTACCTATACTAGACCTTTATCCAATATTAAGGGTTTATTACCAGACAACAAGAGACTGGATAACTTACCTATTAAACCTCGATCCAGTATAAAGGGTTTATTTGTGTAATAAGCTTCTAGCGCCACCAGATGAAAAACACGATTTACAGTATTATGAGTTCCAACAATTCGAATATATCTGGAGAAAAAAACAAATAATAATAATAAGTATGTAGTCAATAATTAAAGTTACAATTTCATATTTTCTAAGAAAGTCAAAACATAATTATTTCAACGTCTTTTGCTCAATAGGATGTCAACTCACTATTATAGATCATTCTCACACTTAAAACTCATTTACACCGGAAATAATAACACAATTACCTCCCTTGTTTCCTATTCTCCACCATGGAGTAGCTATCTTCAAACGTTTGAATTATAGGATTAATAGGATTATTCTTTAACAAGGTAGGACTGTTTAAAGATACGATCTATTTTAGGGCTTTATTTTAATACATTTCAAAAATATAACTTAAAAATATGAAATTGTAACTTTAACCATTCTAACAATTCGAATAAATCCAGGGAAAAAAAAAAATCATAAAAACAATACATATTGAGTCAATAGTTCACAGTATTAATAGTAAGTGAAAGGGGGACTGCACCACACACAAAATAAATCTACGGGGAGAGAGACAGAAATGGGGTTTAACGTTCACTCTTCACAAACTAGGTCATTTCGGGATTATCATATAATTCAATTATTTCAATAATTCACTCGCATGTAGGGGTCTTTAGCGGTGGGAGGAAAATGGAGGGCCTGGAAAAAACCCATGAGGTTGTACAAGGCAAAGAGGGATATTTCCCAAATACTGGTGTGAGTCATGATCGGCTATGTGTTACATGAAAAATAAATATAACAGTTCCAACAATTTGAATATATCTGAAATAATAATACACATCGACAACGACGCTGATATAAATTCAGACCAATCAATAGCGCTAAAGTGTGTTCATAGTCTTTATCATTAAGTCTGATACTGCAATGGATTAAAAATCTGTCAAATGATGAAGACAGGTTGCCAGGCAATGAAACATACACCCACAGCAGCTATGTTGTCCTAGCAGTCGACAATGGCTGTCTCATATTTATACTCTAGTTTGTATTGGGGTATCTACAGACACGGATATCAATTTCCTATAGTGTTCAGAGTGTTCAATAGAAATTAAAAGAAATGAAATGGGGTTTAACGTCCTACTGTTCTGCTCCGAACTGGGCTAATGAAGACGGACATACGCCATACAGTGTGCTATTAAGGGTAATTTTTCCCGGACAGCGGCACCACGGCCTACTCTTATATCGAATTCCAACTGTCAAGGGATCTTTTATGTGCACGCCAATGTGTACATGGGACCTCGGTTTTTTGTCCCATCTGAATGACTTGACAGAAGTCCTTGTCAGCACCCCTCCCCTGTCCTGTATCAATGACAAGGGGGCACCACACTGGAATATCAGGATGAACCTTTAATGCAGGGATCGAACACCCGATGTTCACTAGAAATTCTGGACTACGGACGGACATACCTACGGACGAGGATATAAGTTAAACGAATACAAAATAAGGTACTATAATACTTACTTGCACACCCTGGTCGGAAAATATAATTTTTGCCACGATCTACACAGATACTCTGTATGATCAATCACTCGGATGTAGTCTTTATCATCCATAGACACTTCTATATAATATGAATATGACCTGGAAATAAATTGAGCGTTCTTAATTTGCCATATTTTTCAACATATTCCACACAGGCATACACTAGAAATGAAATGAAATGGGGTTTAACATCCTACTGTTCTGCTCTTATACTAGGCTAACGAAGACGGGCAGAAATCGACACAAATGGTTCGCAACGCATAAAATAATGTAATATGAATGTATATAAACTGATTTACATTCAGTTGTTTCCGTTTTTATTCTAATTTCGAATCAGTTATGTTCCGCGAAATACGCCAGAAGTCTCAACTGAATGGCAATCTCTAGTATCTGGTTTTTCCAGTATTTATTGCGCATGCCCTCTAGATAAGAATATAATGTCACCGTTTGACATGACTTGTGGAATATGTCTAGCCTTATTCTTCGAGTCCCTTGTTACAAATGGCGTTGAAACACATTATCGTACACGATTCGTGTTCCAATGGCAAAATGTTTATCTTGTCTTTTAAACCAGGGATATCAGAAGCCCATCTTTCCCGGTAAGATCACAACATCAATGTTGATTTAAATTGATAAATAATTTGTGTTTTCAACGTCGAAGACATTGAAAGATATTGAGTTAGAGACTTAGCTATTTAACTTGGTAAATAAAATTCTGTCTCTTTATCACAACTAGTACAACAATAAATTTAACAAACCTCATATCTCGATCCCAGAGGAGAAGTTTAAACATGTTTAATATATATGGTCTATCAAGTTTAATCACAATACCCTGACCATTATTATCATCTATCGGATGTCGTGAGAAACCACGATCTAAATCGTAAGTATGGTAATCACCGTCTAACAGACCCGACTTCATCTCTCCTCTATAAACATGGGCTCCATGTAACGCTGTGGCGATATTCTCCTCTGGTACTAAAAAATAAATAATTCGTGGTGAAATTATTTCAATTCCCTATCAATTTTACGGGGATTAGAATGCCCATGTAAGATCCCTTGGCAGTTGTAATTCAATATAAGATTAGGTCATTACAGCACTGTCCGCACAAATCCCTCATAGGAAAATGTATGAAATTTTCATCAAATTTCAACTGTCAAGGTTTCTTTCACATTCACTGCTAACATGTACATGGGATATCTTCTTTTTATCCCATACGAATGGCTAGACACTGTACTAAACCTTTATCCAGCACCACTGAAAAGGTGAAACCGTACTAAATAGTCCTGACGAAAATTTTCCATTCATCACCAGACTTGAACCAAGGACCCTGCGATATTTACTGGATTTGAATACATTTTGTGATGGATGATTTAACATCAAAATGGATAATCAAGACTTCATTTTTTATCGTACCGATAAATCGCAAATATTTCGGTTCAGAGTGGAGCAATTTGACTGAAATTTTCATCATATTCTATTTATGTTATCTATTTTTTAACTATTACAGCGAGAACTGTCAAATCATTGTCTAATCTCCCATAATGCCTCTTTAAGAAAATGAAATGGAAATACCAATACCCATCAGGTTTCTCTACTACAAAGATCAATGATCAATGAAAATACAGTTTTTCATAACTTTGTAAATACTGAACGAAATGAACAATTATTAAACTGAATTCCCATGAAATTCAACTTTTACAGAAAGGAGAAATGAAATGGGTTTTAACGTCCTACTGTTCTGCTCCTAAACTGGGCTAATGAAGACGGGCATACGCCGGCGCTACGGCCTACTCTTATATCGAATTCTAACTGCCATGGGATCTTTTACGTGCACGCCAATATGTACACGGGACCTCAGTTTTTCATCCCATCCGAATGACTAGACAGCTGCCCTCCGTCCTGCATCACTGACGAGGGGAAACCATGCCGGAAAATCAGGATGAACTTTCTCGGCCAATGCAGGGATCAAACACCCCACCTCCAGGCTAGCGAAGCCAGCGTCTTACCCACTTAGCCACGTGATCCCCCCAACTTTTACAATATTGTAGTTTATAAGGACTTCATATTGCCCTAAATGAGAGAGAGAGAAAGGGGGGAGGGAGAGAGAAAGAGAGGGGGGGCGAGGGAGGGAGAGAGAGAGAGTTTAACCTCCACTCAACACAAACTAGGTCAATTTGGGACTAACATATGGTTCAGTTTTATTTCAATAATTCGTTTGCGCGTAGGGGTCTTTAACAGTGAGAGGAAACCGGAGGACCTGGAGAAAACCCACGAGGTTGAATATTGTGCTAAATGTCTTTAAATACTGAAAAGATGAAAAAAAGATGAAATTTAAAAAATGAATATCTTACTGAGAAGTCCACGATATTTTAAATCCATGGCTCGACTTTCCGTTTGTGTTTTGATGGCATCTAATATACAATCAGCAGGAACGAGTGACGTGGGTCGAACATTATTTAATAAATCTGTCATGGTCATTAGAGGGAGACGAACGCTGTCTAGTATGGGTGTTGGGTCCAGGCCGTTATTAAACTCCGCCCATTCACAGACTGATTTAAAAATATCCAATTCATGGGCATAAAATGAATCTCTTGCTATCAATTCTTTAACAGAATTCTGAAAAACACAAGAATATAAAAATAAGTTTCAATCAGAAATATGGCCAGGTATCTTTAACCCTTTTGTTACTTGTCGCTATGGTTACCAGTTTACTCAGATTATTTCTACTACAGCTACAAATGTAAATGTATGAGAGCGGAATGGGCATCAGCATTATATATTCAATAATCCAGTCTTTGTTGTTTGTATTTTAGAGGAGAGTGTAAAAAGGCTCCCCTAAAACTACAAATTGAAAAAATCGCTCCCCTAAAAAAGCTCTCCCAGTTACGATACATGTACATGTACTTGTGAATTAGAAATTAAGGACAGCAATCTGATATTAAGGAGAGTGATTAGTTGGGTGTATGGGAAATCGTTCTGAAGATCAATAACTGCATGTAATGGGGTCATTCCTGGTTTCATAAATGATAATAAACACCCAATGACTTTGTAAAGGAGAGCGATTTTCAATTTTAAGGGGAGCGAGAAAAACATCCCCTCAGTTGACATTCAGGTGTGCGACAGGTGTGCGGTTTGACTAGCGCCCCCTCTCTCCCTTTAATTATCAATTAGGTGGGAGTGAAGTGAGGGTTTAACATCCACTCAACATAAACTAGCTGATTATGGGACAATCATATGGTTCAATTTCATTTCAATAATCTGCTTATGCATAGGCATCTTTAGCTATGGCAGGGGATTGGAGGTTTCAGAGAAAAGTCAAGAGGTTGGACAGAAAACATGTCAGCTGACTTAATGACCGACCTTGTGATCTAAAGCGTACCTGTTAGACCACTAACCACCCACCACCACATACATGTATCAGACAGGATGAGAAATTATTACCTAAGGAGGCCAGTGCCGTACGGCTCAGCTAAAGCCCCTGCCCCCTTTTATCACATAGAATGAGCAATTATTACCTGTGACAAAGATAAGAAGGATTCACTGTGTAAAATCTCAAAAGCGTTTCTATCGATAAACTCCTGACACATGGTACATAAAGATGTCAGATTGTACATGTTGGCGAGATCGTAAATTGGACACACATTACGATTATCTAAAACAGATTTCAAATAATCAGATATAGCCGTCTCGAGTTCTTCAAAACCAAATCGATGGGCCAAACCTAGAACATCTAATATATGACTCTCCTCCTGAAAAAAACAATCATTTTTTATTACAGCATAAATACGATGATTGAAAACTCTTTAATTTTTCAATTGTTTGACTACCAAAACTCTTGTTTACATTTTTCTGCTTCATGCAATATGCTATGAGGGAAATTTTGAAATGAATTGAAATGAAATGGGGTTTAACGTCCTACTGTTCTGCTCCTATAGTGTTCAGAGTATTCACTGGAAATTAAATGAAATGAAACAGGGTTTAGCGTCCTACTGTTCGGCTCTGAACTGGGCTAATAAAGATGGGCATATGCCATACAGTGTGCTATGAGGTAAATTTGAACTGTGGACAGTCCATTCAAGAATCCAGTGCCGTGATAGAATAACCTCCACTAGACACAAAATTGGTCATTTTGGGACAATTCATTTCAATAATTTGTTTGTACGTACATACCTGGCTCAAACCAAAGACATTGATTAATACTTACCTTTATCTCTGTAAGATGTAGTCTACCTGTATAGATATATTTAAATAAAGAAGAAAACGCTGCAGCAGGAACATCATGTAATTCTATCTGAGATATTCCTGGCTGTGATTCTTTCAAACCACCATAAAATAAAGCTCTGAAATAATACCATAAAACATGTTTTAAACAACGCAGATGTATAAAACAAGAGCTCTGAAATAATACCATAAAACATGTTTATAATAACGAACATGTATAAAATATATTTCATGCTATCATTTAAATCTTCCCAAGCTGATAATGTGGGCACAAATCATCAACAGGGAGAGATAAATAAAATTTAGTGTCCACTTGACATAAACTAGGTCATACTGAGACTAACATATCATGACTGTTTTATCATGTGACATCACATTATGCAGCGTCAATCATTGGCTTAATGGCGTGTGCATTGTTTACATAAGATTCTACTAGTTTGGGCAGAATGGTGCCTTTTACTCATTTTACAGACCCATTTACCCTAAATAGGAAATACTGTCTACCTACATATAATTGAAACACCTTTATTTATTTTCCTAATGCTTAAAAAAAATGCTCTAGAATTTAATTTGCAGAAGGAAAAAAGTTAATATTTGGGGCTCATTAAGTCGCATCGATGTCATCCCTATCAGTGACTATAGTGGACTAGCGAATATTCACTGCTGATCAATGTGATACAAACTTATTATCAAAACCATACTACTTAGCTCAATGACAGATCGTTTGATCTAAATCGGATGTGTCAGACCACTCAACCTCCCACCCCACCACACCACATGTATCGTACTCACAGATATTGGTTTCTTATTTCTACATAAAACAGGTAAAATATATTCTGTATACAAATCAATAATTTATTGAATTCGCAGATCCCAATCCTGCACCTTACATTTAAAGCTACAATTTCATATTTTTAAGTTATAGTTTTAAAATGTATTAAAATAAAGCCTTAAAATAGATGGTATCTATAAACAGTTCTACCTTGTTAAAGAATCCTATAATTCACTATTGCCAGTTGAGAAATTGGCAAAAATATCATTTTTAACTTCAAATCCAAACGTTTGATGATAGCTATTCCATGGTAGGGAATAGAGAAACAAGGGAGGTAATTAGGAGGTAACTGTGTTACTATTTCCGGGGTGAATGATTTTAAGTGTGAGAATGATACCTATGATCGTATAATAGTGAGTTGATAACCTATTGAGCAAAAGACATAGAAATAATTCTGTTTTGACTTTCTTAGAAAATATGAAATTCTCGCTTTAATATGCCATCACTTAATTCACAAATCTACTCAACAAACAAAACCAATATCAAGAGTGAGTTTACATAATCTCCTGGCTTGGATTTATTCAGATTTTAAAAAAAAGTTGTCCAATTATCTTACCTAAGTATAAGTATACGCGATACTGTCTTGCGACTACTGCCTGATAAGGCGGGTTGAATGGCCGAATGGTTAGCATGTGCACGTTTTATCATAAGGTCTGTCATTGAGTCAACTGGCATGGTTTTGAATTCCCAGTTGTATGTGACAAGGAGTACGGTCACTAAATAAAATTGAACCATTGTGTAAGTCCAGAAATGACCTAGTTTATGTCCAGTGGAGGTTAATCTTTCTTCTCTCTGATAAAAATCACGCAATGTTCAATTCATCATTTCTTTGTAAAAATGGACTGATATTCCTTTTCGAGATTAACTTTCACCATACTGTAGTTTGTAAGCGATTAAAAATCCCTCTAATTACAACAAGCGAGTTACACATAACAGTTACAAATTTACCCACCTAAAATACTCTGATCTTGCTGCTAAGATGACTTTATGGCCTTGAAACTGGCCCCCATCCACAATGAGTGTGATATCACTGTAGTCGCTATTTTCCACAAGTTCACCGAAACTTTCTGATAGAGAACCAACGTGATCCACGACCCCAACAGGAGCAGGAGATCGCAGTTGTCGATGGTCACACATCTCTTCAAATTATTATCGATTCTCCATACTAAACTGAAAAACACCAAGTACTTTTGTCATAATATGTATATTATTACTCATAGTATAATGAGTTACTCGGGTGGTATATTATTACTCATAGTATAATGAGTTACTCGGGTGGTAATTAATCTGTTTAACATGTGACCTCAGGTCCACTTATCTTGTATATCTCACTCTTGGGGTAGACACGCTTCGATCGTTCATCTTATTGTAAGACTTGCGTGATTCGTTAATAAACATTAAACTTATATGAGTTGTTAATGAGTTTTACAAGTATGAAGAAGCATAACAACTTTAATTACAGATAGGCGTGTGCCACGTTATACATAAACAAGATGCACAACAAGATGCACATTGACTGAATCAGTGAAAGTTTCTTTTTTTCAATCTAGGCCATAACTTTCATACAACGATTTTAGTTGTGCAATGTACTGAACTACATGTACATGTAGGCTACACCATAGTACCATATAGACTATCCTACATGCCATATATCGTCGTTAGGCAGACGAAGTGACTTATCGTCAATAGGTTACGGTAGGAAGATAAGTCACTTCGTCTGCCTACCGACGATATATGTAACTCAGGTATCATTTAATCTTGTGTATCTAGCACTAATTTCTTTCACATTCGTTTAATATCAAATCTTGGTTTAAATGTTCGTAAAAATCGTTTTAAATCACCCAAAATCATCTAATTTGTACTTATGCCAGTTTAAAGCTGACTGATTAATTTTGATAATGAGTGTCAAATTTACAAGTATTTAATTTCCTGACCACTGTTAAAAAATTAATCATTATACATCATTATTAATCAATTGGGTTGTTTATTTTTTAACAGTGATTGAAAAATTGGACACTCATTATCAAAATTGAATGGTCACCTTTAAACTGGACAGAAGTACAAATTAAACGATTTAAACAATTTTTATGAATGTGAATGTGAAAGAAATTAGTGCTAGATACCCAAGATTAAATGATACCTGGGTTACAGTATAATCATGTATATTACATTTTCATTTATGCCTGAGAAAAACGACAGGCACAAGAGGGTTAATACAAGACAAAACCTAGATTTGTGGTTGACAATGTTTGTACCAGGTGCCTTATAATATATTTCTAGACTTGCACTAAGCATAGTTTATTGTTGATTGTGTCAGAAATAAATAGATTCAGTAATGGCTGTGATTGGTGCACTGTAACATTCCAATATTGATTAAAAATATAATAATTATTTTAGTGTTTGTCTTCCGAATGATACACATTATTCCATGTAGGCCTACATCATAGCCCAGTATTTATTAACCTGATTCTAAGCCGTCTAAGGTCAAAGATTTACGAAATTGTTGCCATCTGCATCTGTAATAACAATCGGCTAGAGGTAGAGTTTACAAATATAATCTACACTATCCACTGATCTACATGTACATAGAATTAAATATATGTAAGAGTTTTCATATGATAAATAATTACAAACATGAAATATGGCCCGGGCATGTACATACGGAAATGGAAAGTGACGATAAAAAGTAAACAAATGTTACAAAATAGACTTTCATTTTTGTACGTTTCACATTTCCTTTTCTTCCGAGATAAATATTTTTTATACAATCGATGATCGTATGTTCATTTTAATTATTTGCAATTCGCTACCGATTTTTCCACTTGTTAGATACATGACGAATATAGATTTCTATGGCTAGCTTGAAAAAATAACCAAAAACATTGAGTAAATTTACCGTAAACGAAATCCAAACAACCGCCATCTTGAATTCTATTTACAGTGGTATCATTGCGCGAATATAGATCTCACGTGAAATTGTTTTAATTTATAACGCATTGTGTTAATTGTAATTCCTTTCGCACACAAATTAATTTACAGTAAGAGAGAAGAGTTTTTATGCGTTACCGAAATAGAACAAAGTTTTTTAGATTGAGTCAACGCAATTATTACGCGTGTTTAGGGAGAAACCATTGAATGAACTGTCAGAACTATAATATACAAACACATGCTTTTGTTTACTATTCAGTTATTGGAAAGGTTTTCACAAAATATCCCCCAAAATGGAAACTGATCATGACAGTGGGTTGAAGGAACCAACAGTTAATTCATCTGAACACCCAAATGGAAAGACAACCACTTCTAAACATCTTTTATATTCAGAAAAGTTTGAGAAAGAGCCAGTGAAACTTCTAAAAACTGATTCAAAAAATGGCCCAAGGAGGACATTCAAGCCCCCTCCAAGTTCTGTTCTAAGTCAAGTGAAAAATTTCTTACCCAAAATGATTGAAGCTAACGTTGAATTACAACAAAGGCTTCAAAATGAACCAGAAGAACTTGATATTGAAAACGTGAACGAGGAGGATTGCCATATTGAAATGAATTTAGCATTAGTTGAAAATGAGGAGAGTGACGATAGTGAACTCAGTGCTTCAGATAGTGATGTGGACTCGGATAGCGAGAATGATGACATTTGTACAAAAGATAATATAGAAATGAAAATATCATCAATAATTAATCCAAATAAAAACAAAAATAAAAATGTTAAAATTGAAATATTGGGTTCGGATGATGTTGACAGTTGAAATAGAAGGACTTGCATATTGTTGACTGAATGATAATTGTTTTTTTATAAACAGTAGTCAAATGTGTATTGGATTTACTCATATAGGCCTAACCGTAAGGTATATAAAAGGATTGCAGCAGAAAATGTATAACCTCTGGCACTGAGCTCACAAGAATTTACTCAACATCATAAGAAATATCTTTGATCCAGAAACACAAAACTTTACACATAGTTTCTTATTGATGTATTTGCTACCTTAAAACAACAGAAGTTTTATAAAGGGCTATATTTTAGTCAAAATAAGGCGAACAATTTTGAGTAAATTCTTAACTTAAGTCTGGGATGCTTTGTGAACTCGGGACTTGGTATATCGTAAAACTTGAGAAATGTATAAAAACAGCTAGATATCTGTAAATTGGTGTAGACCACTGTATAAATAAAATATGGTATGGGTCGTCATGGGTACCATCAAAACCACAAGTACGATCGTACAATGGACCAGGAGCTGACCATGTTGTTGGATGAAATTAAAAAATCTAATTCACTAAATCGATGCAGAATTGTTCAAAGAAGAAGCATGTTAATTTTCATGTCGATCAAACTTGAATTGACGGAGCCTTAGGCTTTTCCAAAGCATGTCACCTCCAGAAGAACAGTTCCTGGTCCAATTATGTGCTATCAAATTTGTAATTGGAAATTAAATTAATTTTATTGTAATATTTAATATTAAATTTTTGGTTTGTGTCAATTTTCAGTTTCCTTAATCTCAAACTAATCACAGTAGATGGAAACCCATACTCCTCGCAGTGTTTCATTTGATTATACCTAATCCCACTAAACACTGCTTTAAATTGGACCAAATATGTTTACATAACGTTACGTCATGACTCAAGGTTCTATTATGCCCAATTAACCAGTGCATAGCAGATAACTGTCCAAAGTTTTAGGGAAGACCAAGATTAAACGAAGGGCTGTCATGTTGCTGTACTTGGGATAGATTTGATTGAACGGGAAGAATAGACAAACTCCCTCAAAAACTCAAGTATCAGAAGCCAATCCAGCAATGGCCAGAGAGGGATTTCTCAGGCCATTGCTTCAGGAATATGATGGAAACCAAGGTAATAATAAATTGTCTTATTTACATGGAGTGCAAGGACTCGAAATAGTACAAATAACTGCCACTTCTCACTCTCAGTATCCCTAGTCAGTGCGGGACCACGTGGCTAAGTGGGTAAGACGCTGGCTCGCTAGCCTGGAGGGCGGGTGTTTGATCCCTGCATTGGCCGAGATAGTTCATCCAGATTTTCTGGCATGGTTTCCCCTTGTCAGTGATGCAGGACGGAGGGCCTGAGAAGGACAGCTGTCTAGTCGTTTGGATGGGATGAAAAAACGAGGTCCCGTGTACATATTGGCGTGCACTTAAAAGATCCCTTGGCAGTTGGAATTCGATATAAGAGTAGGCCGTAGTGCCGCTGTCCGGGCACATTGTCCCTCATTGTATACTGTATGGTGTTTGCCCATCATCATTAGCCCCGTTCGGAGCAAACAGTTGGCTGTTAAATCCCATTTCATTTCATTTTCACTGGTCAGTGTTCTCATTCCATTCAACTCCACTAACCCCTGGGTTCACCTATCGGGGAGACATGTACATATATTCAAATTATCTGCCCTTGATGATTGTGCTACTTTTATCAAATACGCTTGATAGGGATGACTTGCCACTGCCTGGTTTGACTGACATAAAAAAAAAACATCTTTCCCATCAAAACGATGCTTTAGGACATATCACTTCTTTTATGTTAAATTTCTGGAACATAGCTCCCACTGGCCAATGAAGACAGGTATAGCCCATACAGTGTGCTACGAGGGAAATTTTGCCCGGGCAGTGGCACTATGGCCTACTCTTATATATCAAATTCAAAATGTTAAGGGATCTTTTATGTGCATGCCAATGTATACACGGGTCTTCAGTTTTTCGGATCATCCAAACGACTAGACAGCTGTCCTTGTCGGGCCCGCCGCCCTGCACCACTGACAAGGGGCAACCTCCAGGCTAACGAGCCATCATTTAGCCACTGTGGCTCCGGAAATAATAACACCTTAGTTTCAATCAGAAAGAGAAAAGAGAGTTTGGGTATGGTTAACTTTAAATTACTTTTGTCTCCCTCCTAGCTCCCTACCTCACACCGGTACAACCACTAGTTTTTCAAGGCTATTGGTTATTAAAACTAAATGTGATGTCATTCGATCATTTATTTATTTACAATATATCAATTATAAATTAATGAAATCAAATAATATTTGAGCCGTTACAATCCCATCTGGACCTAAACCTGAATGTAGTTATCCCCCTTTGATAACCAGCCGTTCTAAAAATTATTCATATCCTTTTGACGGCCACTCTAACTATTGCATCGTCTAAATCCGCGTTTTGGAATTTCTAATTTCTACATCCGACCTGAACATAGACTGATCTTTCTTTTTTGGTGTGTGTGTGGGGGGGGGGGGCATATTCATTCATCCTTTTTTTGCTAACCACTCTAACCATTGCGGTGTCTATATCCGCGTTTCGGATGGTCTTACTTTTTTGGTGGAGAGGGGGGGGGGGGGGGCACGGACATGTATTTTTTCAAAAATCTGAATTACTGTGTCATGATTTTCATTCATTCCCACCCAACGCTATTTGATTACATACCCCCAATGTACAGGGTCTAGTACACAGAAAGGAAGATATTTTTTTAAATATGGTGTGCCAAAACCAGTGAAATAAGTAAAGCAGCGTGTACAATACAGTTACAGCGATAATTTCGATTTTCACAAATTTAATTTACCCTCTCTTTAATTGTACGCCCCGATGTCCGAAGCTGTAGCCCTCTTTATGCACAGCACTCTTCACACTTTCAACTTCCAAAGAGAATGTCTATCCTCCAAAAACGACACAGTTTGCATCTGACCCAAATTTAATATCTATGGATGACAATGAAAGTATCATAACCAATTCAATGTTATGGCCGTTACCGAACCAATTCAATGTTGTAATTGCCAACCTTTCTTCAATTCTGTTATTTTCAGGGACAAAAGTTTGGCCATAACGTTTGAAAATCTATTTGTCCCCCCCCCTTCAGTTTCTGTGAGTGTATGTCATTATGTATATAAAACATTTTAACGTAGATATCAAACCTCGACCTAATAAGGTATTACAAGACAAACTTCACATTTTATTTTCATTTTTTAACATCTATACATTTTGAAATAATTTTTCTAATATATAATATTTTCACTTTTAACACGAACCTGTATTTCATGTTTCGTATTATTATAAATATATATATATTATGTATATTTCTATATATTTTATTTTATGTTCCTTATGTCATGTATATGAATTGTATGCGGCCCGCAATGGGTGTTATAATACAATAAAATCTTATCTTATCGTATCTTATTCTGTATCCTGGATGCAACATGATCTCTGCAGTACCAATCCATCGTATCAGTTTTTTCCTGGAATGTCTTCACGATCTCCAAGGGTATTCCGATCACGAATGTCCAGAGATAATTAAACGTTATATTTTCAAGACTACCCGAAGTTCGATTTTTGTTTTTACTATTTTCTGTTCTAGACATTTATTTGAGAAGAGTTAAATAAGAACAGGAACCTGGCAACCCCTCCCTCCTGCAAAACTTCCTGGATCCGCCCCTGGATTAACGTCTTACTGTTTCACATCGACCTGCAATGGCCTACTCTAGCTTTTACTTCCATTTCCCACTGTGGTGGGTATCTTTAACGTACTTCCAATAGGAGACTTCGGGTTTTCATACCTTTGAACAACTAGGTGCCATCCCTTGTCAGGCCCTCCATTCTACACCCTTTGTTTGCGAGCCAGCACCACACACCCTGAGCCCTCGGCTAAATCTATTTGTTAAGGCCAGCTCAATTTTTGTCAAGGTCGCTGAGATGTAAATAAATTTAGTGCATGTGATTGTTGGTGAACTTGTAGGTAAGGGTTGGGGCAAGTATTGGGGTAAGTCCAGGGTTTGGGTTAGCGCTAGCCCTGTTTACATCTCGTGACCTGTGACGAAAAATTGAGCTGGCCTTATCATTTAGCACTAACCCTGAGCCCCCTATGCGACACTTACGTTTAAGTTATATTTTATTGAAGTACGGACTATATTGTCGTATAGTAATGATGATACTATATGTGTTGTCCCTGGAATAAACACCTCTAAATACTTCTGTCATCTAATTATATGAATAGGCTAAAGGCCTATTCCACAATATGACCATTGAAACCCGACCCTTGTTGGGGCACTGCACTGTCAGTTATTACATAAACCAATGAATGACATCATTCGGCCATTTTATTACACGCTATACACAAAACAAACCCGCGATCGACAACACGGCCATTCTATCCCATGCAATACACATGACCGATAGCACTCGGTCAATTTATCACATGCAATACAGCCCCATTTTATCACGTGCATTACACATGACCGACAACACTCGGACATTCTATCAATACACAAAACATACAAATAACAACAGATTACAATAAACATATTTTAATACAGTCTGAAATCTCCTTTTATTTCATCCAAGATATACAAGTCCGAATGGCTGAGTTCGATTATAGCCATTAATATCACAGTTTAATATTAAAAGTCGAATTCTGTGAGTTTGGACGCATTATAAGCGCCGCTCGTTGTCTTGGAATGAAAGCAGTTTCATTGAGAACGAGAGGTTGTGATGTTCCCGAGGCAAATAGATAAACAGACATCGGTGATTGGACAACAGTCTGTGTAATGTACATTTCAAACTCAGCGAATTGAAAGTGAAAAGAACCTCCTTTGTAATCCAGTCCAGTGATGTTCCATTGATTGACATTTGGGATGATCTGTGGATCGAATATCAACATGTCGTTTCTGATTCTAAATCCACCATAGCCAAATATAATAGACTGAAGATATCCACCGATTCCTGTATGGAAGTTTACAGCACCGCTACCATCAGCATTCTCAGTCCATGTCTGAAGACAAAAATTTGTTTTTTTATTACAAATGTACATCATAAATTGCTACCTATATGACGTGGGCGGGGTCTAATCTGATCCGAGGTTTGACAAGGAGTATTACCTCCTCCATGTTCCTGAAGCAACGACTGTAAGTTTTACAACATCTAGCCGTTGCTAGTTTAGTCTGAAATTACCAAAACGTTTAGGTAGTTATCTTCCTTTACCACAGACAATTGATACAAACGCGTAAGGGAATCGATTTATTACAGCCGTTGAAATTTTTTTTTTTTAAGTTGTACAACTCACGGAAACTAATAAAAAACAACCTTACATAGCATAATGCAAAAACAAAATGTAAATTATTAAGGTTTGGACTAAGACGTGCTTCACTGCATATTCATGATATGGCCGGGGGCCGTGCGAACTTGTAGTGGAAACCACATCACTTGACTAAATGTAAGACCATTTTATTTAAAGTGTACAATAGGTACACAGTTAGAACAACCCCCTTGCCCGCTTTGAAATTCATTAGAGAGGTTCAGATGTGTTGTAAGAACGATACGAGGTGAAGTCGTTCTCGTTCTCGGAAAAGGTGACACACTTTTATGGTTCAGAAAAATCCGCGATGGTCAGTTCATCGTGAATAGAGTAAAAAGTGCGCTGTTTGAAAGTGAGGATTCGTTTAACCATTTCGCTTTTATTCGACCAGTTAAACAGTGCCTAACAAAGGCTGATTTATGTGTTTCGGTATAATTATGAAAACGGTTGTCTAAAATAGAATTAAATCATCACGGAATTCACTTACGACTTCAGAGGGTCCAAGATGTTTTCCGCTGTGGGGGAAGCCCTCAAGAACTGATGACGTACCATGCAAAAAAGGGAATCACCTCGTCCTCGTTCTCGATTTCGGAGTGGATCAGAACCTCTCTATTATTAATCTTCGAAACCGAATATCAACAGACACCACACAGTTCTGTGCACTCTGATTCAAACACAGATCCTATTTCGTTCCGTTTACTTGTCTTTACTACACTAGGATCTGGAAGAGTTGTTATATTACCGGCGTTTTGGTTGAAGTGAGGGATAAGCCAATGGAACGGTCTATTACAACGACTTCTTGGCGTGCTATGCACGGAACTGTGAGTAAACCACTAGAAACATCAACGCTGATTGATTAATCAATGTCTGACGTCATAGGGTCAAAAGCCGCTCGTACGACCCCTGACACGACCTTCGAGTACAACTTGTCAGATTTTCATGTAGTGTAGGCCATTGAAAGTATAAAAATACGAAATGAAATATACATCTGTATTTTAATCAGATTAAATTCATTGTGAAATGAAATGAAATGGGGTTTAAAGTCCTACTGTTCTGCTCCTATACTGGGCTAATGAAGACGGGCATATGCCATACAGTGTGCTATTAGGGAAATTTTGCCCGGGCAGCGGCACTATCGCCTACTCTTATATCGAATTTCAACTGCCAGGGGATCTTTTACGTGCATTCCAATATATACACGGGACCTCGGTTTTTCGTCTGATCCGAAGGACTAAACAGCTGTCCTTGTCAGGCCCTCCGTTCTGCACCACTGACAAGGGGAAACCACGTCGGAAAATCTAGGTGAACTTTCTCGGCCAATGCAGGGATCGAACACCCGACCTCCAGGCTAGCGAGCCAGTATATTATTCTTAAAGTTACTTACCTGGAATGGCGGTTGAATATTACCAAATTGTTTATTGTAATATTTCTCTGCTAATGTTAGATTTCCTTGTTCTAGCCAGTTAATAGCAAACATCCCCCACGTCATAGCTGGACCACTCGGTGTAACCTGAAATCAATCCCAGATATCTATTCCGTAATCTGTCATTGATATCAATGACGTCATACCATTAAAAGAAGCATATTAGGGAAATGAAAATTGGGTTTAACGTCCTACTGTTCTGGGCTGATGAACCCTATGCCATACAGTGTGTTAATTCGAAATCTAACCCCTAAAGGATCTTTTACGTGCGCTCCAATGTGTACACGGGCCTCGGGTTGTCAGGCCCCCTTCCTACACGGGGGTGGTGGTTGGGGGGGGGGGGGTATCACGCCGGAAATCCCCAGAAGAACGTTCTCGGACAACACCAGGAGCGAACCCGGCCATATCTATTTGTGAAGGTCGCTGAGATGTAAAAAAGGTTAGGGCACGTGGTTATTGGTGACTCGTAGGTTAGGGTTTGAGTAAGCATTGGGGCTTAGAGTTAGGGTTGGGATAAGCGCTAGCCCTGTTTAAATCTCGTGACCTTTGACTAAATTTGAAGTTGACCTTATCAAATAGATCTAACCAAGCGAACTCGAGACATTAGCACAATAAAACATGACGTTGTTTACAGACGCTGACAACCTAATGACGTAGTTTAAAGATACAATAATTAGTACAAATTAATCATGACATAGTGCATAAGTTATATATTACAATTAGCACAATAAAGTATGACGTAGTTTGTGGATATTATAATTAGCACAATAAGGTATGACGTAGTTTGTATAATTAGCACAATAAAGAATGACGTAGTTTGTGGATATTATAATTAGCACAATAAAGCATGACGTAGTATACATACATTAGCATAATAAATCAGATCATTTTGTTGTATAGTTTTATTGGGTGATTGAGACATCAGAGGAAATCCTATTAATATGACGTCACCTTGTTTTACAATTTCACCTGAAATGTTCAAGAATATAAAATTAGGGTTTTTTAAATCCTTTTGCGTGGCATCTTAGTCAGCAGTGACCGCCAAATCCCGTCACTTCATCCTTAGATTTATTGGTTTTTAAATGAAATGGGCTTTAATCACTCGGCAAACCTCAGCAGGTTCCAGTACCCAACAACTAGCCACGGCTGTATGATGAAGTCTGCCATTGAAACTCCTTTCAGAATGTTTTATCGTACAAAGATTTCAAAGCCATTTTTCTTTTAAGTTTATCCGATGTTCTTTAAACAAGGACAATTTGCACTGAAATTCTATACACTCTTCGAACGACACAATTTTGAGAACTTCTTTCTAAAAGCTGAAAGTTAAACCGGCGTCGCATTGCAATTGTATAGGTGTGGGTGCATATCACTTACCGTCATAAAGCCGAGGCTAGATGTAGAGAACCGGAATCTGCAGAAAATGAAATGAAATGAAATGGAGTTTAACGTCCTACTGTTCTGCTCCTAACCTGGGCTAATGAAGACGGGCATACGCCACACAGAGTGCTATGAGGGATATTACAACTGTCAAGTGTACACGAGACTCCGGGTTTTCTCAATCGGTAACTAAATGTCGCTGTGCCAATACCTAGACTAATGGATTCATTGAATCATGCTCTCGACAATTGACCCACCTCTAGAATAACCACCATATTCTGGATGGTAGAAATATTGACCTACCTCTGGGTGGTAGAAATATTGACCTACCTCTGGATGATAGAAATATTGACCTACCTCTAGGATAACCATCATATTCTGGATGATAGAAGTATTGATGATTATCAATAGGTATGTACATGTTATCTATAATACTCTGCCATAAAGTTGGTGGTGTTCGTCCTGTTTTCACGGCAGCCATCTGCCCAGTCATTAAAGTAATCCGAGCTATAGTATTAATGTATACAGAGTTATTCTTGTGGTAGTGATACTCATCAGGTCCCATGACATCTAAAAACAAAACAAGAACCGCCATTTTATAAATTATTACCATAGAAAAGGTTACTGAAATGGCATTTTTGGAAAAGATGCGTTGGTTCGAGGTTCAGTATCGCTGGCTTCGATGAATTCTTGTACAACATTAATATAGACAATTAAGGTAACGCCCATGGCCCCCATTACTAAAATACTACAAAAACTGCCATTTTATAATATTATATAGCACATTACCGTAGAAACGCAAATGGCTTTTTAGGAAAAGGTATGTGCCTATAGACTTGGTGTATATCATTACGGTTATGGTACAATACTACGACTAGACCCCAAAGGTTATGGCCCACGTGACTAGGAAGGGTAGACATTTCCTGTAGATCATGAAAGATGAGGTCCACGTGAGTAGGAAGGGTAGACTTCCTGTAGATCTTGAAGGATATGGTTCACGTCATTAGGAAGGGTAGACTCCCTGTCGATCATGAAGGATATAACCTACGTGATTAGTAAGGGTAGAATTCCTGTAGATCATGAAGGATATGGCCCACGTGATTAGGTCGATAGACTTCCTGTAGATCATGAAGGTCTTGACCCACAGGGGGATACAAAGGGCGAGATGCATTCCGCAAGACCGCTTAATCACGTGGCCGTAATCATAACGATCTACACTTGTGGCATTCCATTTCAGAGATTTTTCTTTAGTTTGGCCCAAATTAAAGACACGATACGTTCAATAGAGCCAACATTTTTGAAATTGCAACAAATTGTTCAGAAATATACTGTTTACAGAGAAAACAAAAAGAATGACGTACCGAGTATTTCGTATTTTTTTGTTTGTTGATTCAAGGTGACACGTGCCGCCCAGAACGTTGCTAGGTCAATGAGAGCTTCTGCACCACGATCTTTTACCAGGAAGTCGTCATCTGTAGTTAGCAACCAATACTGACGTAATGCGAAAGCTACGTCAGCTGAAATGTGGATTTCGTTGGTGGAACATGTCTCTGACGTAGATGTAGGTAGTCCTGTAGAAATATATTATTAAAACATAGGAGTATTGAAATGGTGTGTAACGTGTCTCCATCCACTGACCAAATAAAATCCGGTACATCCCAGGTAATGTTGCCCGGACTGTGGCATTTCTGCCTCTGGTTCATCGAATTGTGTCGATTTGCATGTCAATAAGTACACTCGTGGACTAGACGCCTAACGTTGCCAGCTTCCCAGAAGCTCCGCCATTATCACTTTCTCGGCCAATAGCAGAATAGAATCCGGGATCTACTGTGTGTAGTGAGTCGTGCAATGACGCGATTTGTTGTTACAGCTCGTCTAAATACAATTCCTCTACATTTCTGTTATGGTATCATTGACTTTGGTATTACGAGGTTGATGCATCTAAGTGTCTAACAGAAAGCACACGAATTTGACCCGGTTTATAAATACTGAATGGTTTTGCGGCGATGCATTTACCATTGAAATTTACCTGTATATGCGGATTCCCAGGGATACATGGCACCGGGAAACCCCCTCATCTTCGCCAACCGTCGAGCAGCATCTAGTTTTCTTAGTCTAGATTGAACGATCAGTTTTCCCACATCAGCATGCAGCATCATGATTGGTGGAAACATCCACGTGTCTTGATCCCAAAACACGTGACCGGAATAATCCTGCGACTGAAATGAAGCACAATAAAGCGCTTTGAAGACTGGCAAGGATGGAAAAGCATGTGAACAAATTCAACCGGTAGAGCGTTTTCAAAATTTTGCTGTTACGGGCAAAAATGTCGTATAAATTTGGGGCAGACCACCATTAATTTCCCAGAGACTTTAATTAATATTCTGGTCTCCTCTCACAGCTACAACATTTCGCAAAATTTTGATGGTGCATCACAGACAGGGCATATCTTTGCTCAAAGTTTGTAGGAGGTTGACCACTGAAATTTTGAGAATGTATCCAACCGCTTAGCTCTGTTAGCCATCTGCCTCTAAACGATGAATATTTACCATAATCTGTCAGAAAATGTCGGACCAAACCCTCTCCTTCGACTCTAGACCAAAACCTCAAGAAAAATGGCCATATTGAAAGGAGGTCTGCCTGCAATTGTTATACGATTTTAAATTTAGAATGGATTCCGCCTGAGGGTTCGGCAAACTATACCAGCAAGTTTGATTTTTTCCCCCAAAAAATGTGACCTAACGAGCATTTACAGGGTCTACAGTATTGGCGGGATCGTTATTACCTAGAAAGCTCAAGGATGAGCAGCTACTGTACTATTGCTGGGTGGTCTGGTAATATTCCTGGTAGAATCAGGACTAAAGGAATTAACTTTCTATTGAATTGGACGAGTAGGTTTCTACACGAACTTTCGGGTATTTTTTCGTCCCTATTGAAGAAATTAAGTGGTTACCCAGACCTGGTTGCCCCCGTAACAGCTCAAGGGTACTTAAATTTGCAGAGAACTCTGTGTCACTTATTTTTTGATTAAGAATCGGCTTACCCAGTTCTTTGTTGTCATGTTTGAAAATGTTTTTTGGAAAAATATGCTAGTTATATGGGGCGTAAATTGACCGATTGGTCCAGAGATATTCCGGTCAATTGTTTAACACATGCGGTCATGGTCGGCATATATTGCCGAGTTGGAATCCATACTCTCAGCTTATAAAATCCTTTATATATGTTGTTTTGGAAAACATGCTAGTTTTTGGGGCGTAAATTGACCGATTGGTCCAGAGATATTCCGGTCAATTGTTTAACACATGCGGTCATGGTCGGCATATATTGCCGAGTTGGAATCCATACTCTCAGCTTATAAAATCCTTTATATATGTTGTTTTGGAAAATATGCTAGTTTTACGAAATAACAATTGACCGATTGGTCTCGAGATATCCCGGTCAATTGTTAAATAAAGGCGGTCATGACCGGCATATATTGCCGAATTGGAATCCCTGTTCTCACCTTATAATATCCATGTGCTAATCCACCAGGTGCTAATCCCATGAACGGCCAATTAGCCTCGTCAGGATGGACAGGTAGAGAGCTGAGTAGATAATACAGTGAGGCGTAGATTATTTGGCCTATTTTATTATTATTTGCTAGTACATCAATACGACCCTTGTTCCAAAGATCATTCCAGGCGTTGATGTGTTCATGTCGAAACGTGTCATTCACAAATAAATCACTAGCTGAAATAAACAATTCCACATATGGTCGTGCTCATAGCGCTACAAAACACACAATCACTCTTACAAATATTTCTCAAATAAGTAACTGGGTAAGACGGTGGCTCGTTGGCCTGCATTGGCCGTTCCGAATACCTGGTTGTACGTGACCAACCTCGTGGGTTTTCTCCGGGTCCTCCGGTTTCCTCCCACTGCTAAAGACCCCTAGGCGCAAGCGAATTATTGAAATAAAATTTAACCATATGTTAGTCTCGAAATGACCTAGTTTGTGTCGAGGAGATGTTAAACACCCCCCTCTCTCTCTCTCTCTCTCTCTCTCTCTCTCTCTCTCTCTCTCTCTCTCCTCCTCCTCTCTCTCTCTCCTCTCTCTCTCTCTTGCTCTCTCTCTCTCTCTCTCTCTCCTCCCCTCTCTCTCTCTCTCTCTCTCTCTCTCTCTCTCCTCCCCTCTCTCTCTCTTGCCCTCTCTCTCTCCTCCCCTCTCTCTCTCTTGCTCTCTCTCTCTCTCCTCCCCTCTCTCTCTCTCTCTCTCTCTCTCTCTCTCTCTCTCTCTCTCTCTCTCTCTCTCTCTCTCACTCTTTCTCTCTCTCTCTCTCTCTCTCTCTCTCTCTCTCTCTCTCTCTCCTCCCCTCTCTCTCTCTCTCTCTCTCTCTCTCTCTCTCTCTCTCTGCATTGGCCGAGAAAGTTCATCCAGATTTCCCGGCGTGGTTCCACCTTGTCAGTGATGTAGGGCGGAGGGCCTGACAAGGACAGCTGTCTAGTCGTTCGGATGGGACGAAAAACCAAAGTCCCGTGTACACGTTGGCGTGCCCGTAAAAGATCCCTTGACAGTTGGAATTCGATATATAAGAGTAGGCCGTAGTGCCGCTGTCGAGGAAAAATTTCCCTCATAGCCCACTGCATGGTTTATGCCCGTCGTCTTTAGCCCCGTTCGGAGCAGAACAGTAGGACGTTAAACTCCATTTCATTACATATTACTTACCCCTTTGATGGTAATAAGTAGCCTCTGTTTTGTTGACACCAAATGCCGCGAAGAAGTAGACGGTTTCCGATTTTATAAAGGCCGGAACTGTTATGTTGTTTAGTATATGGTCGTAAACTAAAGCTACAGGTGTTGTTGGTTTGATGTCAGGATATTCAGCTATCAAAGTTTCACCAGTTGTTGTACTATAAACCAATGATATAGGAATATAACAAGCTGGATCAGCTATGATCCCCGTCCAGCCTTTAAACTTAATTGAAGTACATTCAAAGTTTTATCAAAATCCAACCAGTTTGCAATTAGGCAGTAATAGAATGAAATGAAATGAAATGGGTTTGAACGTCCTACTGTTCTACTCCGACTGGGCTAATGGAGACGGACATAAGTCATACAGTATGCTTTGACGAGACTTTTGCCCGGATAGTGGCGCTACGACCGACTTTTACATCGAATTCCAACTGTCAAGGGTTCTTTTAATGTGTACACAGGCCCTCAGTTTTTGTCCCATCCGATCGACTATACGTTGACCCTCTCCAGGTTCTCTGCCCTGCACCACTGACAAGCCGTAACCACTTCGGAAGATCTTGATGAACTCCAGTTACATATGCTACTGTAGTAAAGTGGTACTATGTATAATATAAACTTATTGATGGCCTGGTAAGGAAAAGCGTCTAATCATTCGGAAGGGACAAAAACCCGAGGTTCCGTGTACACGTTGCTTGCACGTGAAAGAAACCTTGACAGTTGGAATTCAGTTGCATAGTCCATTATAGGAGCAGAGGGCGTTAAACCCATTTGATTTCATTTCGCTTTCTGGGCCACACTTCCTCAAAACACACTGTATGGCTTAAGTCTGTTTTCATTAGCCCAGTTGGTGCAGGAAAGCAGTACGTTAAACTCCATTCCATTCATTCATCGTTGCTAAGTGGGTAAGACGCTGGCTCGCTAGCCTGGGGGTCACGTGTTCAATCCCTGCATTGGCCGAGAAAGTTCATTGGGATTTTCCGACGTGGTTTCCTCTTGTCAGTGGTGCAGAACGGAGGGCAGCTGTCTAGTCGTTCGGATGAGACGAAAAACCGAGGTCCAGTGTATACATTGGCATACACGTAAAAGACCCCTTGGCAGTTGGAATTTGATATAATAGTAGGCCATAGTACCCCTGCCCGAGCAAAATTTCCCACATAGCACACTGTATGGTGTATGCCCGTCTTCATTAGCCCAGTCGGAGGAGAACAGTAGGACGTTAAGCCCCAATCATTTCATTTTTCCATTCATTCATTCATTCATTCATTTCATTATGCCTACTTACTATGTATAATCTTTATCTACTACTGGACCAAAGTGAATATCATCACTTGTTTTTCCTGTATTAGTGTGAAAGTTGATGGTTAAATCTGTTAAACCATCTTTCTCTATATCTACCTCTACCGCCATTACTCTTGTTAAAATACGATGAGCATACGTTCTTATCTCTATTCTATAATCTTCACCAAAAAATCTCTCTCTAAAAATACCTGTAATAAAACACTATATAATATACCTCTAATAGTACACCAGTAATAATACACTATATAATTTACCTGTAATAATACACCTGTAATAATATACCTGTAATATACCTGTAATAGTACACCTGTAATAATATACCTGTAATATACCTGTAATAGTACACCTGTAATAATATTCCTGTAATAGTACACCTGTAATAATATACAAGTAATAGTACACTATGTACTACACCGGTAATAGTACACCTGTAATAAGACATCTGTAATAATACACCTGTAATAATACACCTGTAATAATACACCTGTAATAATATATACTATTCAAAAAAAGTAGGGGATATTTGATTTTGGGGGCATAATACTAAAATATGCAAATGACTACGAAAAAAGTCACTATAGAACCTAACAGAAGAAACATTTCCAGTTACATGTGACGCCCAAACGCACCAATAGCTACCGCATGGAATGCAGGTGATGCTTGGGATCATCATGGGGGTCCAACCCAAGATTTTCACAACTCTGACTTTGAATGTTACAGTCATTGTGGCATTGAATTCCAGGGTGGAAACATCAGTTTAATTGTTTTAGTGACCAGAAAACAAATTTTGATATGCGTCGGCTTACCCAAAATGAAAGGTTACGTGCCCTTGGCATGCTACAGATCGGCACAACACAGGCGGTTGTGGCGCGGACGATGAATGTTTCTCAGTCTGTCATAAGCAGGCTATGGTCCAGATACCGTGATACACAATCTGTACAGGACAGACCACGCTCAGGTCGACCAAGGGCGACAACTCAAGCCCAGGATCGATTTATCCGTACCTTGGCCTTGAGAAATCGTGTCATCACAGCAAATCAGATCAGCGCTCGTCTTCAAACAGACACTGGTGTGAGAGTGAGTGGCCAGACGATTCGGAATCGACTGCATAGGGGTCACCTTCGCGCCCGACGTCCTCGCGTGATCCCTTGTTTGAGAGATCATCACATTCAGGCAAGACGTCGTTGGTGTAGGGATCGTCAACACTGGGATAATCGACGCTGGAGCAATGTGATGTTTTCAGATGAGTCAAGGTTCACTGTTGATTTTTTGGACATACGTAGGAGGGTGTGGCGTCGTCGAAACGAGCGCTTCCAAGACGTTAACGTCATCAGACATGATCGATTTTGGGGTGGTTCTGTTATGGTGTGGGGAGGCATCACTGTTGCCGGAAGAACGGCTTTACATGTTGTTGCAGGGCGTGTTACAGGCCAGTACTACCGGGACAACATCTTGGCAGTCCATGTTGTGCCGTTCGCACAACGCAAGATGTCACAGGGCCAGGATCGTTATAGGTTACCTCCAACAACAGAACATCACCACATTACCTTGGCCAGCACTGAGTCCCGACCTCTCCCCCATCGAGCATGTCTGGGACATGCTTGGACAGGGGTTACGTCAACGTCAACAACGTCCTGCCAATGTCCAAGAACTTGCTGCTGCGTTGCAACAGGAATGGGACAATCTGGACCAAAATGACCTTAGACGTCTCATTAGGAGTATGCCACGTCGGATCAATGCTTGTTTGGCAAACAGAGGAGGATTTACCCGTTACTGACTTGGTTGTGATGCTGTGGTAACTTTGCTGTTTGACCCCGGGTATCATTTTACCCTTATAATGGTCAGTCTGTGCCTTACTTAGTCTAACGATCATTTGGAATAAATCGATGAATGTGAACTTCATTTCATTTTGTCATTTGTTTCTTCGTCAGTTTCATTAGGTGATTTTAATAACACTTAAAAATCAAATATCCCCTACTTTTTTTGAATAGTATATCTGTAAGAAATTATATATTGAAAAAAAAAAACATAGTCCCGTGTAAAATTAGAAATGGCGCTGTCAGGGCAAAATTCTTCTTTATAGTCTGGTTAGTAAATAAAAGTAGGACGTTAACCCACATTTCATTACTTTACATCAAGTCTATCACAGAACACTGTGTATCTTTAAGGCGTGACTCAGTTAGTAAGGCACGGTTCTCTCGGTTGATCGGGGCTGTTCCTCGCGGTTTTCAGGCATGGTTCCCCCTGTCAGTGATGCATGACGGAGGGTCGGACAAGAAACAGCGTCTAGTCGTTCGGGTGGGACGAAAAAAAAGGTCCCCGTACATACTGGTGTGCACGTAAAATAACATTTGACAGTTGGAATTCAATGTTCCTCATGGACACTATATACAGTATGTTCGTCTTTGGAACTTAAACCCCATTTCATTCAGTCATTCACTCATTATAACTAATACCCACCGTTTTTCATGTCTAGTAAATATTTCTTTGTGTAGGATCCATTTGACGTTTTAATCGAGTCTACTATTAAACTAACAATAGAGGGTATCCTGGCTCTATGACTGCTGGTGTTAGCACCGTTATACAATCCGTTCATACAGATGGTGTCGCTGTGTATTACTGTTGCGATATGGCCGTTACCGATCTCAGGTAGAAGTCGCGGGTCGGATGGTAGTCTGAAATAAATACAGATTGTACACAGAGAGAGAGAGAGAGAGAGAGAGGGAGAGAGAGAGAGAGAGATTCTCTGATTCATAATGTCTATCTTATCATTTATTGTATAAAATGAAGGGGATTGGGGCGTAACATCGGTTAAATACACGAAGTTTCCAATATAAGTTACTAACGGTTGACCCGACCTAGCACTAGTATAGCCATGAACCGGAAGTAGCATAGCTCCGAAACCGGAAGTGGTATTTCATCGCCACCAGCCCTTAGTTACTCCGCGGTCGGAGCTACCTTATGAACCTAACTTCAGCCTGGGGATAACCGCAGTGTAGCCGCCAACCCTGAACAGACAGACAAACAGTCAGACTAACAAACGACAGTCACAAATATTAGTATAGATGATTGTGCTTTAGAATTTGATACATGTACCATACTGACCCACTATGATCATTGTTTTCAGCGGTTTTGGGGTGGCTTTGGTGCTGAAACAATCTGTTTCAAAGGCCTCCTTATCACTCTGTGTGAGATGACTGACCTTTATAAGGTTCATATTCATTCACACGGCGTCCATCATAGGCTCGATAGCTTGTACAATGTTTCTTCAGAAACCAAAATATCAGAAGCGACAACGAAGGACGCATTAGCGCCACCAACACCAAAAAACCCCAGCGAAATCAACTTTGTACATAAACCTGATGTATTGCATGTATTTTTAATAAAACTAGGAAATACCACGAACTAATTTTTCATCATCCTAGGTCAGTGCTTATATGAAGACTTAACCTCTCCCCCAAATTCTTAAACCTAACTCTGGACCTAGCCCTAACCCTAATCTACAATCTCGCCAACAATCACGTGCCCGAACCTTATTTACATCTCAGCGACCTTGACAAACATTGAGCTGATCTTAACAAATAGATTTAGCCAGTTTGATGCTAAAATACTCACTTATCTGTCTCTATAATGGCGGGGTCTCCAGGTATATCATCATATTGAAAAGAGAATTTGTTTTTACATGGAACCTCTATTCTAGTTGGACCATGAGATCGATAACATTTCTGTTTTACGTTTTGTGTCTCTTTATTTCTTGTTATTTTCACATCTTCGGGTGATTCTGAAAGTTTATTTCTGTCTAGGTCAGCTCCTTCAACAACCATAGCCGTTGATTTCTCACTCCCTCCATATTTCAAAGGAATCAGCCTGTCACCACTGCCTTGTCCAGATTCTTCAGTCCTAGTTCTTGATTTCTCACTTCCTCCATATCTCAAAGGAATCAGCCTGTCACCACTGCCTTGTCCAAATTCTTCAGCCCTAGTTCTTGGCTTCTCACCGCCTCCGTGTTTAAATGAAATCAATCTGTCACCACTGCCTTGTCCAGATTCTTCAACCCTAGATCTTGGTTTCTCACCGCCTCCATATTTAAAAGGAATCAATCTATCGCCACTATTGTTGTTTGCGTAAGTGTAAATGCCCGCCATTAGAATGGCTATCATCAATCGCGACCACAGGGCTATCTTGATTATCATTTTTACGTATCATAAGTTATACTATATATCTATGAAACAATATAAAAATATTAGGGAGGGTTGAGAGAGAGAAATTGGATTTAACTTGACACATAACTTAATAACAGTCCCGTTTGTCTAACTAGACGAAACTAATAATATCGCACAATTTTATTTCAGTTATTCGTTTGCGCATAGTGGCAACCGAGTTACCCGGATAAAACCTGCGACAAAAAGGTGTGTGTGTGTGGGGGGGGGGGGGGGTAACGTCCACTCGACAAAAACCTACGATAAAGGAAAGCTTCTAATTGCTAGCCTACATATCCCAGCTGGTGAAGAAAATCAGGACGTTATCGCCCTAACCCGTGTACAAATCACCCGACAAAACAGATAAATAATCAACTGAAACTATATTATCATCACCTAGTTCTCGGCTAAATCTATTTGTTAAGGCCAGTTCAATTTTTGTCAAGGTCGCCTAGATGTAAATGAGGTTAGTGCACGTGATTGTTGGCGAGATTGTAGGTTAGGGTTAGTGTAAACATTACGGCTAGGTCCCCAACATCATGGATTTTCTCCGGGTCCTGCGGTTCCCTCCCACTGCTAAAGACCCCTATGCACAAACGAATTATTGAAATAAAATTGAACCATGTTAGTCCCAAAATGACCTTTGTTTGTGTCGAGTGGACGTTATATCCCATTTCTCTCCCTCTCTCTGTTACAATAATACACCATGTCTTGATTATCCATTTCGTGACCTATGACGAGGGTTAGGGTGAGAATTGGGGCTAGGGTTAGACTAAGGGTTGGGATTAGCCCTAGCCCTGTTTAGATCTCTTGACCTATGACGAAAAATTGAGCTGGCCTTATCATTTAGCACTGACCCATAGTTATCTTTGTACACCATTAGCGTAATGACATAAATTGATCAAATGAAATGAAATGAAATGGGGTTTAACGTCCTACTGTTCTGCTCCTAACCTGGGCTAATGAAGACGGGCATACGCCATACAGTGTGCTATGAGTGAAATTTTGTCCGGGCATCGGCGCTACGGCCTACTCTTATATCGAATTCCAACTGCCAAAGGATATTATACGTGCACGCCAATGTGTACACGGGACCTCGGTTTGTCGTCCCATCCGAACGACTAAACATCTGTCCTTGTCAGGCCCTCCATCCTTCATCACTGAACTTTCTCGACTAATGCTGGGATCGAACACCCGACCGCCAGGCTAGCGAGCAAGAGTCTTACCCACTTAGCCACGTGATAAAAAAAACGCTTTCATTGAAGAACACAAGTTTTATCAACGAATGTATCACCAGTGGTCATTTTATAGGCCTATGGTCTTGTCTCGCTCATAAAATAGAATAAACGTGATAAAAAAAACGCTTTCATTGAAGAACACAAGTTTTATCAACGAATGTATCACCAGTGGTCATTTTATAGGCCTATGGTCTTGTCTCGCTCATAAAATAGAATATTCCGCGTTTGAATCTTGGCAACGGCCGAAAGAAATCTTCTTGTGAGTTGAGCGATGGCGCCAGTGAGGCCCACAAGGAAACGAAAAGCGTGCATAGTGATTTGGATTGGAATGGAATAGTAAATCGAGGTCACTCCTGCACAAAAAAAAGAACCTTTGAACGAAAGTAGGCAAGAAAAGTCGCGGTCTATTACAAAATGACCGCAGTGTTGGATAACGAGAAATTATACCCAATTTTGAAACATATTTCGGTCTACAGCGCGACAAAGTTGACTACTTGCACTAATGCTGAGTTGGTATAGCGTTATGGCGGTCCGTCTTCATTAGCCCGTCTTTATTAGCCCAGTCGGTGCAGAACAGGAGGACGTTAAACCCCATTTCATTAAATTCACTTCGACATAGCACACCGTATTCCTATCTTCATTAGCTCAGCAGAGCCAGAAAGTAACGAGGTTACAGGCGACCCCACTCCCTGTCACGCACAACCTGGGAATCAAAACCACGCCATTTGACTCAATGACAGACCTTATGATACAACGCCTACGTGCTACCCCTTCGGCGCCGCCCCCCCCCCCCCTTTGATATAGCACACTGTATGCCCATCTTCATTAGCTCAGCAGGCGCAGAAAAGTAGGACGTTAAACCCCATTTGAATCGTTGCTAGGCGACATACTTACCACCTACTTCATACTATACTATACCTCGTGTTTAAAGCAGTAGAAATGATATGATGTTTTATCAAAATGGCGACCTATATACTGATACCGTTATAACTATATCAAGGTCAGTTTAACCACATATCAGATAAAAATAAACTCTATTAATCGCTGATTATTCTTACCCAGCCACCATTTTGTTAACGGGAAGGGGTATCCGCTGTTTCAGGAAGCAACACTCGTTACTATTTTTATCTGACTAGAAAAGGTAATAAACTGGTGTTTAACGTTCTACTGTTCTGTCCGACTGGCTTAAAGGACAATATTGGTGCCAGTCATTATCACATATGTGTTAGAGCTGGTTAAACACATTCCAAACATACATTTAACACAGAGATCATTGCTACGATAGCTGAGTAATACGCACGCGTTAAACACTAGACCATCAACCTGCCAACCCCGACATCACCCTCCCCATTGCTGATTATACGAAGTATCTTTAAAATGGAATGCCTCGTCTACATAATACTTTGATCTTTGCGCGATTAACAGATGGTAGTGTACGTGTGCAATGCGAGGAGTAGAATTTTGCCCGGACAGTGCCGTTTTCGTCTTTCCTTATTCAATATCCAACTTTCAAGGAATCTTTTACGTGCATGTCAATGTGTACTTGGGACCTCGGTTTTTCATCCCATCCGAACGACTACACTGTTCTTTGTTAGGCCCTCCGTGTACTCAAGACCTCAGTTTTTCGTACCATCCGAACGACTACGCTGTTGCTTGTTAGGCCCTCCGTACTGTACCAATAACAAGGGGGAACCACGCCGGAAAATCCCGAGGAACTTTCTCGGCCAAAATCGGGAAAGAACCCGAGACCGGGTTAGAGAGCCTCCCGTCATCCACCACTGTCAAGAAGGGAACCACGCCGGAAGAACCTGAGGAACTTTCTCGGCCAACATCGGGAACGAACCCGAGACCGGGTTAGAAAGCCGCCCGTCATGCACCACTGTCAAGAGGGGAACCACGCCGGAAGAACCTTAGGAACTTTATCAGCCAACACCGGAAGCGAACGCGGGACCTAACTGGCGAGCCACGGTCATGCTCAATGAGCCACCACAGAAACATGGTAATTCGTATGTTGAATTGAACTGGTTTCTCAAGGGAGATTTGAAATACAAGAATGTAAGACCGGTTGGAATTTTTTCTCATTTATTAATAAATCTCTTACACTCTAATATAAAAATATATTTTCAACGAATTGTAAGATATACACAGATCTAACATACGCAGAATATTACAGATACATTATGTAAGATTTAGATTAAGAGCTGGACGTTCTTGCTATAATAGTTATTTTAAAGATACATTATGTAAGATTTAGATGAAAAAAAAGCTGATAGTTCTCGCTATAATAGTTTTAAAAAAAATAATAAAAAATAAATATTTTGAAATTCCTGACCAATTACTTTATTGTGGGCGAACTTATGAATGTTTGATGATTGGGCAAAAAAAAAATAGTTTAAATTAGCCAAGTGGCAGTTCATATGCTTGATTTTAAAGTACCAATGTCATGATAATAAAAGATGTCCAGATTTTCTCTCCCTCAATCAACAGTCTCTGTAGGTAGCACGAATATTATCATTTAACGAATTAATGGCGGATATCAGATAGTCTAGAGAGCTGATTATGGTTTTGCCATTTGAATAAATTTATGTCTTTTGAAGCAAGAAAAAAGATCTGCGAGCAGATATAGCTCTTACATAATACCTGTTTGAGGTTATAATTTTTTTTTCTTGATCACATAATCTTTTATTTAAGTTTCTACAAAAAAAGGCGTTTACACGTTAGAATAGAAAAAAACTATTGTTTTACGATGCAATCCATTTAATAAAGATCTATAGGCTTGTATATATATAGTTTGTAAACAATCTGGTTAAAACACAGATCCTATTTCGTTTCGTTTTTTATTGTTCAAAATTTTGTTTTACTTGTCTTTACTACACTAGGATCTGGAAGAGTTGTTATATAACAGGCGTTCTGGGTGATGTGAGGGATTACCCAATGAAACGGTCTGTTACGGCGAGTTCTTGGCGTGCTCTGAACGGAACTGCGGGTAAACTCCTAGAAACGTCAATACTGATTGATTAATCAATGTCTGACGTCATAAGTAAAAAACCGCTCGCATGACACCTGAAGCGATCTTTCACTAGAACCGGTCAGATCTTCATGAAGTGTAGGTCATCGAAAGTATAAAAAAGAAACGAAACGAAATATAGATCTGTATTTTAATCAGATTGTGTTTGTACATAGCTATATGCAAAGGAATATTCTGACAATATTTATTTAAAAAAAAGTAAAGCCTTCCTCATACGTCACGTGTTTTCATGACGTATATGGGTCTATATCTCACCAGTGCCTTTGTTTACTGGACGAAGTAAGAACTTTCTGCATTATTTTTACAAATATATATGTAGTTTAAATATTGGGTATTGTATATTGCCGAGTGGTCAGACTTCTCCTATTCGGCCTACCCGACGCTACAGCCAAAGCAAAATATCTGGTAACAAAACTTTTTTTTTTAAAGTACTTTTTCGCTACCTTTTCACTCATTTAGCTCTTAACCAAACTACGTCATTTTGACGTCATGACGTCAAGTTGTCAGGCTAAATAAAGGCTGAAGTGAAATATTTTGTATGCCTATTTCAAAAGACTAGGCCTACTTATAAGTTATAGACTCTTGACACCAATAAAAAAGTTGAAGGGGATAAGTTGATCTATAATTTGCACGTTGTCTCTCGTATTTTTTTTTAAAATCATTTTCATCAGAAATTTCGTCTTCAGAATCGGTGTCATCGATATAATCCGAGTCGGAATCATTCATAAGCATTTCAACTACTTTGACTTTGGGAGTCTTTAACATTCTCGACATAGTTAAAAAAAAATTACGTTTTTTTCCCAAAAAATGTTGAACAAAGACATGGTTTTCTCAATGCCCTTGACAAGACAACTTCTTGTCTGACACGCATACGTAGACATATCGATTAAATACGAAACTAAATACTCAAATGCCATTCATAATAAAGGTTTTTACTGCGGTTGACGGTGACCACTTAGTTTTATAACGTTATGGCGACTATAGTCGACAAAGACCGGTCAAGGGCTAAGACGCTTGTCAATAATTTTGTCATATATGTAGAATATAAATGATAGTATGTGGTTACAATAAATTCATTTCACAGCTGTTAAACAATCTATTTATGGTAACAATATCACAAGGCCTTCGGCTGGTTGTAGTATAATTTTATCTAGTTTTATTGTAGAATCAAGTGTATAATCTTCATGGTCGAAATTTCCTGTGCTCACTTTAACAGTTCCTTCGTGGTAATCATATGGTGTTTTAAAATCAATCGTTCCAGTCTCGGTACCCACGTTAATAACCACCAGGTATGAAGAGTAACCGGAAGCGGATCTGACGTAGGAAATGACGTTATCGTCAGTGTACCGGAAGTCAAAACTGCCGTAAAGAAAAGCTGGTTCCTGCCGTAACGTTGCTAAGGCTCTGTACACCTTCAGTGGTGTTATATGGGTGGCGTTTTTTTCGTACTGGAAATAGCAAATAAAATTTGTGATTATTGACATGAAGTTCTACTCCAAGCGTGTAATTTATTGACAATATAAACCGGTAGATTATCCACCCTTAATATTTTTGTTTTTGCTTTATTAAAGGGAGCCACGGTGGCTAGGTGGTTAAGACGCTGGCTCACTAGCCTGGGGGTCGGATGTTCAATCCCTGCATTGGCCGAGAAAGTTCATCTGGATTTTCCGACGTGGTTTCCCCTTGCCAGTGGTGCAGAACAGAGGGCCTGGCAAGGACAGCTGTCTAGTCCTTCGGATGAGACGAAAAACTGAGGTCCCGTAAAAGATCCCTTGGCAGTTTGAATTCGATATAAGAGTAGGCCGTAGTGCCGCTGTCCGGGCAAAATTTCCCTCATAGCACACTGTATGGTGTATGCCCGTCTTCATTAGCCCAGTATAGGAGCAGAACAGTAGGACGTTAAACCCCATTTCATTTCATTTTATTAAAGTGGCATTGCGTTATGTTAGCGCAATAGGAATCTTGTGAAAGTTGAATCTCTAAAATGAATATCAGTCCAAAAATGGTTCAATTTCTTTCAGTAGTTACAAAGATATGATGAATTGAAATATAACTCGCTATTTTAAAAGCCCACCGCCATATTATTGCGTTTTATGGTACACCCTTCACTCCTCCGATTCGGCCCTCCATTTTGAAGAAACTATCTACGTGCTTTCCTGATAGAGTTCCCGAATCGCCATCACAAAAATACAAAATGGAGTTACCTGTACATTTATAAAAGTATGATTTTGATTGAGAGGAAGCCATGGATGAGAAGAATTAGTAAAACCAGCCTGTGGACCACTATCCCACTGCATTGGTGTTCTTTCTGGATCTCTCGAAAAGTTCTTGTATGCAGACTGTAAGGTAATCAAATTACGTATTATATTGTGTTTAAACAGTTTAACTTGTGACTGTACAATATTTGGACCAGGAACAGCCCCCCCCCCCCCCGCAAGCGCTACTCATCATCTTGTTGTTCTTGGGAGGCGGTGATGGTCGAAAGCCCCCAAGGTTCCGCCAATTTAAAGGAGAATTATGTAAGATTAGATATAATAGTTAACAACTTGATAATGTAAAGGGAATATGCTGAAGGTTTCAATCAAATTGCTGCACTCTGAACCGAGATATTAGCGTTTAAATTTTAGGCCTGGCCTCGATCATCATTACTAAAGTCGACACGATAAAAAACATAGTCTCTATTATCCACTTTTGGATTAAATCATCGATGAGCGTTGAACAGCAAATCGGATTCAAATCAGTGAAAATCCTACACATAATATGACATCGAGAGTTGATTAAGGTCTTTTCATGTTAATAAATGTCTAATTGATAGTTTATATAATATTTCAGGCCCAAAGAAAGACTGAATAATATATGTTTAAGTTCGGTCGACACGGAACTTGGCATGCGTGTTCCTTGGAGAACTGTGCATTTGAGGGATTTCGATTTTTAACATGACGTCACGCATTATCGTCTTATGCAGTGGACAAGAAATAAACAAGTACATTGTAGCCTACATGGTTCAATTTTATTTCAATAAATCGCTTGCGCGTAGGAGTCTTTAGCAGTGGGAGGAAACAGGAGGACCCGGAGAAAACCCACGAGGCTGGACATGCAACCCTATTCCTTGTCACGTAAAACCTACGGACAGAGGAACATTGCAAGCAAGAAACAACAAATAGCATAAGCATCCACTGCTGTGCAGTTCCTAGTACAGCTCTGAACGTAGGTCTCATTACACTCACCTCTACGTCCAGGGAAGCTAGCATTTAATCAATTTCGAACGTAAACGACCGCCCCAGTCAATTTTACTGGGCAACTTTTTACTGCGAAACGGTCGCGTGTCAGTCCCTGTGAACGCCTGAACAATATAAATGAACATCTTAGTGAGAAAATAAGACCTTGCTTACCTCGCTAGAGTCAGTATGAGCGACACAACACGCTGTTAAAAAATACGTCTCCGTCTTCTAACCGACTTGGCAGACATCATTGAAAGGGTAACGCATAAATTTAAGAACTCGGCCATATAAGATGAAACGATGAAACGACCGTTTCGCAGTAAAAAGTTGCTCAGTAAAATTGACTGGGACGGTCGTTTACGTTCGACATTGATTCAATGCTAGCTTCCCTGGACGTAAAGGTGAGTGTAATGAGGCCTACGTTCAGAGCTGGACTATGCAGTTCCAGGCTTCTGTCAAAAACTAAAACAAAACAGTGACCCACAAATAAACCCCACTCGGCAAACCTCGGCAGATTCCGTTACACTACATCTAACCTCAGATGTATGACGGTAAGTGATATGTACCTACGCCTATAAAATTGCGATGCGGCACCGGTTTACTTATTAGGAAAACTTGCCGCTTTTAAAAAGAAGTTGTCCGTGTTTGACGAAAATCAGAAAAACTTAGAAGAAAAACAGCTTCAGGCTTCGAAATATTTGTATGATAAAACCATAGAATATATTTTTATGGATAAACATTCTTCAAAGGCGTCGTCATGGGCAACGCCGTTGGTAATCCGGGAACTTGAAAGTAGTTCTAATGGCGAACTTCGTCATACAGCCGAGGCTAGATGTAGGGTACTGGAATCTGCTGAGGTTTGCCGAGTGAAATAAACTCACCTCTCCAAAATGTTTTCCATACGGATCTTGGGTATCTTTAAATGATATTGTATCTACATCTGCCATACCAAGTTCATCACCATAGTAACAGGTTGGTGTACCTCTCAGTGTTAATAACAACATATTCAAAACATTGGTGTATGTTTTACCGGAAATAGTTATACCACGTTTAGATGTTAGTCTAGATCTGTCATGGTTGCCCATCTGAAATATTTTTATTTGTACATGAAATGAAATAGGGTTTAACGTCCTACTGTTCTACACCGAGGAAACTTCTTCCGGTTTAACTGTTTGACTTTCATCCTTGTTTTTCCTACCTAATATATAAACAAAGTAGCCAAGTCTCTACCCCAATACCATCCAAAGTCTTCGACATTGACAACACGAATTATTTGTCAATTTAAATCAACATTGATGTTGTGATCTTACCGGAAAAAGATGGCCTTCTGATATCTAATATTTAAGACAAAATAAACATTTTACCATTGGTACACGAATCGTGTATCATAATGCGTTTCAGTGTCATTTGTAACAAGGGACTCGAAAAACGGGGCTAGGCATATTCCACAAGTCATGTCAAACGGTGATCTCATATTATTATCTGGAGACCATGCGCAATAAATAATATCGGTGTAGACTGGAATAACCAAACGCTACAGATTGCCATTCGATTAAGTCTTCTGGCGTATTTCGCCGAACATAACTGATTAGAATTTACAGTAAAAACAGAAACGATTGAATGTAAATCAGTTTATATACATTCATATCACATAATTATATGAGTTGCGACCTATTTGTATCATTTTCCAGGTCACAAATATTCGAGATTTAGCTTCTTTAAAATCTACCAACAGCGCAGCTAACCAGAGCAATGGTTTTGGGCTTTCTAAAACCGAACTACTGTGAGTTAGATAATCATAGACAGCCACCAGCAGGGTATAGTTTCCTTGATGGCGTGTCTGTACACTCACAAACTAAAAAGAGAGAGAGAGAAATGAGGTTTAACGTCCATTAGACACAAACTAGGTCATTTCGGGACTAACATATGGTTTAATTTTATTTCAATAATTCGCTTGCGCGTAGGGCTCTTTAGCAGTGGGAGAAAACCCACGAGTTTGGACAGGCGATCCTACTCCTTGTCACGTACAACCGGGGATTCGAAACCACGCCAGTCGACTCAATGACAGACTTTATGGTACAGCGCGCGCACGCTAACCATTCAACCATCCAACCCCCCACAAACTAAAGAACCCGATCTGACGTCTGATTGGCTTTTCTTACCACGTGGTTATGTTTAACGTCTTCCAAAATGGCAGCTAGTAAGAGCTGATACTGAATTTTCAACATTAAGATCTTTATTAGAGGCGAGATTAAAGTCTATGAAAAATGAAAATGCTTGTGGTATATTTGAGGTAGGGACTATGGGTTATTTTTTACAGCAGGAATGAGACTCGGGTTTCATCTATGTTTTGTTTTGGGGTTTCTACATGTATGTTCTTTAGCTATAAATAACAAAAGGCCGCTGGTTGTCTAGAATTCTGTCGTTCGGAACCCAGCCCCTAAATCACGTGGATGATATCCATCAATCGAGAATCATGTTCGATTCTTTAGTTTGTACTAGTCGGGAATCAAGTCCGGTTCTTTAGCTTATAATAGTCGCGAACCGGATCAGCAATTCTCGGCTCCCAGCGATAAGTTTAACCTTTGTTTATCTCTTGGAAAACTCGCCGGCCATTTTGAATGTCACGTGATGTATCCTTCCATCAATCGCTTCACAAAGATCCAAGATGGCGGCTCAAGCTCGCATTTCTTCAGAAATTACGCGTATTTAGCCGAATCACCTACATTGTGCACTACAAATAGTTCCCGGTAAATCATCAAATCGGTTGTTTTCGAATGAACTTTTGATGTCAAGATGTGAAAAATACGATGAACCGATCCCTAACAAATTCAGCCAATCAGGAACCACTGGGGGCGGAACTTAGGAACCGATTTAAGACTGATAAATGAGCGTCGAGTTTTCCCAGAGATAAACAAAGCTTAAAATTATCCCTGGGAACCGAGAATTGCCAGATCAGGTCCTATATTCACTGCCTATTTTCAACCTACCACAAAATTTGGCCATTTTCCTTCCGGTAAAGTGTTGTATTCTGTTTCCACTAGTTTCTTGATACAAGAAGCGTTACAGCTGGGATAACTCCCCTCAACTAGATCCATGTTAAACGGCATGTCAGCACCGTTTGTATAATAAGCATTTCTAATAGATGGCACAGCATAGATTTCCACAACCATAAATTTAGAACTGAAATTAAAAGAAATTAAAGAGGAAATAACTTTATGCAGGCTATATTAACCTTTAATCTAGTGGTGTGTATTGGGTGTTGGGTAGTCTGGTGGTGTGTAGTGTGGTTGGGTGGTGTGTAGTCTGATGGTGCGTGGTGTAGTCTGGTAGTGGGTGTGGGGTAGTTTGGTGGTTGTGTAGTGGGTGTGGGGTAATCTGGTGGTGTGTAGTGGGTGTGGGGTAGTCTGGTGGTGTGTAGTGGGCGTGATTCGGTGTGGGGTTAGTCTGGAGGTGGGTTTGGGGTAGTCTGGTGGTGTGTAGTGTGGTTGGGTGTGGGGTAAGTCTGGTGGTATATAGTGGGTGTGGGGTAATCTGGTGGTGTGTAGTGGGTGTGGTTGGGTGGTGTGTAGTCTGATGGTGCGTGGGATAATCTAGTGGTGTGTAGTGGTAGTCTGGTGGTGTGTAGTGGGTGTTTTTGGGTGGTGTGTAGTCTGATGGTGCGTGGGATAATCTAGTGGTGTGTAGTGGTAGTCTGGTGGTGTGTAGTGGGTGTGGTTGGGTGGTGTGTAGTCTGATGGTGCGTGGGATAATCTAGTGGTGTGTAGTGGTAGTCTGGTGGTGTGTAGTGGGTGTGGTTGGGTGGTGTGTAGTCTGATGGTGTGTGGGGTATCTGGTGGTGTGTAGTGGGTGTGAGGTAGCCTGATGGTGTGTAGTGGGTGTGGGGTAGCCTGGTATTGTGTAATAGATGTAGTAGGTGTGGTTGGAACCCAGAGCTACCCAGTCCGCCCCTGTATTATAAACAAGTGTATCTTACTTATCAGTATCGTCGTCACTATTATCGTACTTTCTTAATACATCACTCCATTCCCGTATAGCGTCGTTAATCTCAGGTAAGTTGGCCGTATACAGGTGTTCGTAATATTCCCATTGTTCCTGAAATTCAAGCATCCATTCAAGAATGAGATAGTTAATGAGTTCCGCTTAATGAGAGAGAGAGAGAGAGAGAGAGAGAGAGAGAGAGAGAGATGGGGTTTAACGTCCACTCGACACAGACTAGGTCATTTCGGGACTAAAATATGGTTTAATTTTATTTCAATAATTCGCTTGCGCGTAGGGGTTTTTAGCAGTGGGAGGAAACCGGAGGACCCGGAGAAAACCCACGAGGTTGGACAGGTAACCCTACTCTTTGTCACGCACAACCGGGGATTCGAAACCACGCCAGTTGACTCAATGACAGATCTCATGATACAGCGCGCACATGCTAACCATTCGGCTATCCACCCCCACTACCGCTTAATGAAGAAAACAACTTCTTGTTCGGTCGGTCTACGGTCTACATGATTTATGGTTTGCTTAAAGCTGCATTTTACCAATTGATCAGTATCGATTAGCCTAGCAACCGATCATTTGGAGAAATTTCAAAACGTATATTATCTTGTAGGTGTCCGTTCTGTATAAATATACTTACGGAAGTGACGTCGGGTTAGTTAATTTGTGGTTTTGTGAATATACTTACGGAAGTGACGCCAGGTTAGTTAATTGGTAGTTTTGTGTAAATATACTGACGGAAGTGACGTCAGGTTCGTCAATTAGTGGTTTGGTGTAAACGGAAGTGGCGTCAGGTTAGTCAATTAGCGGTTTGGTGTAAATATACTTACGGAAGTGACGTTAGGTTAGTAAATTGGTAGTTTGGCGTAAATATACTTACGGAAGTGAAGCCAGGTAAGTTACTTTGAGGTTCATTTAAAGACACGTCGGTAGATTCAAACAAATAAGGAATGGCGTCCACACGTAAACCATCGATACCCATTCTGCCCCAAAAATCTACAGCATTCTACAGATAAAAGCCATTGTACTTGTAAATTAATATCTACTTACGGAAGTGACGTCAGGTAAGTTAGTTGGTGGTTCATTTAACGATACATTAGTAGATTCAAACAGGTTAATAATGGCGTCCACTCGTAAACCATCGATACCCGTTCTGGCCCAAAAATCCACCACCTTCTACATATTGAGAAACGTAAACCCATATATTTGTATGTAAATGTGATATTTAATTCCTTCACGGTTTTGTTGCTGATTATCTCCCTTGGTGTCCGTCTTGTGTGAATCCCGTGCCACTAGCCTACTGTACAGCGTAGAAATATTTTTTGTCTTGCCTACATCCACAATAGTGGCTGGTTCTAAGGACTTCCTTAGGACATGCTTTTTAATCATTTGCTTACAGAAAAGATACTGGCCTATAAAGCCCTTAATATTCAATTAAATTGTCCACGAAGTGTACTGCGCATATCTAATTCGCATTGAAATAAAGGTGCAACCTCACCGCATAATTGTGAGACATTTTAAGCAAGCAAACAAATGAAAAAACAAAAAACCATTACCACCAGACACCAAAACAAACAAAAAACAACATTTTTTTCATCACATAAAATATTCATATTTTTCTCAGTACCCATAATCATGGTGAACTGAATTCAAACGGAAGGGGGTCCGAATACATTGGTGTTGGCGTTAAACGGAACGAGGATGGGTCGGAGTCCCACGGCGCCAAGTTCCGGGCAGGTGGCTTATAGTTTTTAATTCACCAATTTTTACCCAAATGTGGACTGACATAATCCAATTCTAAATCTATGCACCACACTAGGTACAGACATTCAGAAAAGTCACCCATTTTCTTCTACTTTACGATCCAATAACAGTGTATTTTTTTATTAATTTATATCCTTTTTTAAAAAAAAAACCCCAAACAAAACATTACTCGGCATACCTGACCCCTAGGCAAGTTTCTCAGCCCCTCCCCCCCCCCACGGGCCCTGCAGAAAGTCAAAATGGCTACATAAAGATACCGTCATTTTTTAAGAAAACTGTATAATTCATATTAATTGTAAATCCATGTTTCACATTATCACTGGGTCCTGCTAATATTTTGGCGCCATTGCACACTTTCAGGTGACCCAACACTAATTGTCAATCCATTTTTACAGACCATTTATTTCCCTAATGAACAGTGCGTTATAGTCCATAGGGTCATGCGACTCATGCCCTTTAAATAATAAAACCAACCTTCATTTCATCTCTGACTGCAGGGTTTCTATAATTTAAGTCTGGTTGTTCGGGTAGAAAGGCGTGATAGTAATATTGTTTTCTGACGTCACTCCATGCCCAAGTTGAACCACCAAACACACTGTGCTGAAATAATGGATTATAGTCTGTAAAAACATTAGTTTTTCTCAGTTTGTTTTCATTTTAATGCTAGATTCCCACTGTCGTGCGATGTGTTAAGATAGGATTGCCCCCTAGTGAGTCAACGATCTGGTACGAGCAACACGATTGCTACGACCGACCTCAATATATGATAAGACCTGATAGGATCACCAAGATTACTCTGCGATTAAAACCACGATTTTAATCGTAACCCGAATCGTGAAGTTGGAATCTGGAATAAGTAAAGCATGAATCATTACAGGCCCGGAACTGTACAGCACTCCCCCCCCCCCCCACACACACACACCCGCAACCCATTCCCGTAATGCACACGACCACACAGACACAGGTTGTACAAGTGTCCCAATCCCACCCTTAGGAATATTCTGGCTATGCTATTGATTGGCAGGTTAGGAAACCTGATCTTGGGTACCAATCTGTTTCACAGAGAATTACGAGTCTCGTATAATATCTCTGTCATAGATGACTGCCTTAACACGTGCTGTCACAGCACACGGTGTGAATCATTGGCTGAATGGCGCGTGCATTGTTTACATAAGACATAACTGCTTCGGAGAGAATGCTGCATTTTAGTCATTTTAATACCCATTTACACTAAATCGGAAATAATTTTTAACTACAAATACGTCAAACGCCTTTATTTATTTGTCCAATATATACAAAAAATGTTTTAGAATTTAATTTGTCGCAGGAAAAAAGTTAATATTTCTAGCTCATTAAGCCGCATCAATGTCATCCTTATCAGTGATTGTCGCGGCCAAGCAAATATTCACTGCGGATCAGTTCTTTGGTACGTTTCGATCCCATTTTGTACTTCAGTTCCAGGGCTAACATAAATTTAACCCGTTTATACCAGAAATTATTCTTCTTCGCGAAACATCCCATTGACATGCTTGTTCCTTTGACAATTGTGCATCAATTGATTGGCATTGGTTTTTGATATCACGTCACAGTTTAAAGATGGCTGCAATCACGTCATGTTCGGCTCCTGTTGAATGACCCCATTTTCCAATGATGACGTCATGTGAAGTCATAGGTGAATGCAGACTGCTTTATCCGACTCAGAGATATAGAGTTCCTATATGTTGATAATACATTTATATGGTCTAACATTGATAGTTTTTGAGATATTGACCGCTTTTTGTCTATTGGCCGACTTTGACCTTTGACCCCGCACCAAAAATTTTCCCCAGGCGATCATGATGGGTCATTTCTCTTTTGGAGTACCTACGGACCCAACCTTTCATTTGAGACCAAGTTTGCTTTGATGAGACTTTTTTCCAGGAAAACACATAAATCGGTGTTTATCCGGCAGACTATATAGAACGTTCGTAATTGTTACAATGCGACATCGTCCTCGTTGGAAGAGGACGTTAAGTCGAACGAACGAACGAACAAACGTGACAATGCGAGCCTAATTACTTAGCTTAATGAATATTTATAATGATATATTTATAAAAGTCTAGACTAATAAATAAATAACCTTATTGTATATTTATATGACTAATTAATACGTTTAATATATATTTGCATGACCTAATAAACACGCTGTACTTGTATAACTGATAAATACGTTTATTTTATATTTATATAATTGATAGATAAGCTATATTTATATAACTGAGAGAGAAATGAAATGAAATGAAATGGGGTTTAACTTCCTACTGTTCTGCTCCTAACCTGGGCTAATGAAGACGGGCATACGCCATACAGTGTGCTATGAGGGAAATTTTGCCCGGACAGCGGCACTACGGCCTACTCTTATATCGAATTCCAACTGCCAAGGGATCTTTTACGTGCACGCCAATGTGTACACGGGACCTCGGTTTTTCGTCACATCCGAACGACTAGACAGCTTTCCTTGTCAGCCCCTCCGTCCTGCATCACTGACAAGGGAGAACCACGCCGGAAAATCTGGATGAACTTTCTCGGCCAATGCAGGGATCGAACACCCAACCTCCAGGCTAGCGAGCTAGCGTCTTACCCACTTAGCCACGTGATCCCCTAACTGAGAGAGAGAGAGAGAGAGAGAGAGGGAGGGGGGTTCAACGCCCACTCGACACAAACTAGGTCATTTCGGGACTAACACATGGTTCAATTTTATTTCAATAATTCGCTTGTGAGTAGGGGTCTTTAGTAGTGGGGGGAAACCGGAGGATCCGGAGAAAACCCACGAGGTTGGACAGGCGACCATACTATTAGTCACGTACAACCGGATAATCGAAACCCCGCCAGTTGACTCAATGACAAAACGTATGATACAGCGCGCACGTGCTAACAATTCGGCAATCCAAACCCCGTAACTGACAAATAACTGATAAATATGCTATATTTATATACCTAATCAATACTCTATATTTATAATAAATACCCTATATTTATATAACTAATAAATACGCTATATTTATATACCTAATCAATACTCTATATTTATAATAAATACCCTATATTTATATAACTAATAAATACGCTATATTTATAAGACTAATGTTATTTTTAGTACCCAGTTATTTGGTGCTGTATCCTGCCAGATATAAAAATCCGTGTATGGATCTTGACGTTGTTCACTCTTTATAAACCATGGATGTTTGTTACTCGAATGATTTGGTACAAAATCCAATATAACTCTTAAATCTAAAATTATAAAACAAAAAAAAAAAAACACGTTATGCCCGCTCGATCCAGAATATACAACCGCGTAATTGGAATATACAAGGCTTAATCTAATTGTTAAGGTCAGCTCAATTTTTGTCAAGGTCGCTGAGATGTAAATAAGGTTAGGGCACGTGATTGTTGGCGAGATTGTAGGTTAGGGTTAAGGTAAGCACTGGGCTAGGGCCAGGGTTAGTGTTGGGATTAGCGCTAGCGTTGTTTACATCTCGTGACCGACCTATGACGAAAAACTGAGCATAGAAGGGGCGGATCCAGGGGGGGGGGCAACCCCTCCCCACCCCCACCCCCCCACGCTCAGCTACATAATTTATTTTGTAAATCAATACTTTTTATGAGAAAAGTTTCTCGGTCGTGTGCTTTATCCTTTATCGTCAGATGTAGGACAGGATGGACACTCAAGGCACGAGATAATGATATAGACATTATGTGATATCACAATTAATGCTTTGCATCAATAAAATTGAATCACAATGTCATTGTATTAATTCATAATAAAAATTGACGTCAAACGAGGTGTTGAATTTCTCTGTTTAAAAAGCTCAATGTGTATGTATATACGCCAAAATGACGATAGAGACCAAGCGAGGGTGGGGGGTGGGTAGATACATTGTCTCAGGAACCTGGCAAACCCCCTCCTGCAAAAATTCCTGGATCCGCCCCTGCATAGCCGGCCCTATCATTTTAGCACTAAGCGAATATACAAGAGTATAATTGGGTTGAATATAAAAAGTGTAATTGGAATATTGAATATAAAAAGTGTAATTGGAATATTAAACTCTGTGGATGGAATATAAAAAGTGTAATTAGAATATTGAATATAAAACAGCTGAATTGAAATATTAAACTGTGGAGTCGGAATATAAATTGTTTTAACTTACTTCTAGCATGGGCTTCTTTAATCAGTGTTTTCATGTTTTCCATAGAACCAAACATGGGATCAACCTTGGTGAAATTAGAAATATCATAACCAAAATCTTTCATAGGGGATTCATAGATTGGACTAATCCAGATAGCATTCACCCCCAGATAGTTGAAATAATCCAACCTTGAAATGATACCTGTAATACACAAACATTAATCATACCTGTCTTTATACCTGTATTTACAAAGTAAAAGATTAGAAATAATACGCATCTCTCTCTCTTATCGAGGAGGGGGGGGGGGGGAATGGTAAGCTCGTGTGCCCTGTATCACAAGGTCTGTCCTTGAGTAAAATGGTGTGGTTTCGATTCCCCGGTTGTACGGAACAAGGAATAGGGTCGCCTGTCCAACCTCGTGGGTTTTCTCCGGGTCCTCCAGTTTCCTCCGACTGCTAAAGACCCCTAACGCGCAAGCGAATAATTGAAATAAAACTGAACCATATGTTAGTCCCGAAATGACCTAGTTTGTGTCGAGTGGACGTTACCCCCCCCCCCCCTCTCTTCCCCACTCCCTCTCTCTCTCTCTCTTTAGATGGTGGGGGTTAACGTCCACTCGACACAAACTATGCCAGTTCAGGACTAGCTACAATCAGACTTAAAAAGGGTAAAGGAGAAATGGTCTCTCTCTCTCTCTCTCTCTCTCTCTCTCTCTCTCTTTCTTACCTGGACAGCAATTGAATTCAAAATGTCAAGGGTGTATACGGGGGCATGGTTGTTTCCTCCTGCACCAATGACAAGGCGAAACACAACGGAAAAAAACCGGAGAACTTTCGCGGCCATTAGCGGGCTTGAACCCAGACTTCCAACGTCTTACCTACTAAGCTACCGCGGCGCCTTTTATATAAGAGAAAAATAATACAAGCGACCCTCACCACAAACGCCATAAGACAACCCCGCGGACAAGGCGTTCAGTGGATCCAGGAGCCATTCGTGACCCTCCACTGCGCTGTTCGGGAATGTTCTTAGAAAGGAATCTTTAAATAGGTCTTCAAAAGTCGGTTATTCACACATCTTACTGTCTATTTATTTAACGGGGCCAATGGAATCAAGTCACGTGGGGTTTAACTTGCCCGTCGACTCTACCGAAATCTATCTGCCAAGGGCTCTTTTACGTGCACGACAATGTCTACATGTTTTTCGTACCATCCCTACGACTAGACGTTATACCTTGCTAGACTCTCCTTCCTGCACCACAGACAACAGTAAACCCCGGGGAATATAGATGGACAGAGACCCTAGGTCTCTCCCAACCCCTAACCTCACGACTAGAAGAAGATAAACCCGTGTTTTAATCACCATTGAGCAAAGCCCGGGGGGTTTAACGTCCTACTGCCCCCCCCCCTCCGCCTCAAGTCTTGGGGTCCTAGGTTTCAGTCTCGCAATCCTACCCTATAGGTAAATCCAGCAATGACTGTACATTATACTTATGATATACCTGTTTGGCATATCTACCTGTTAATTAAACTATAGATAACCGATTTACCTGTCTGGTCTTGTTATTATATATATATATAGGTGTGAAACCTCGACGCGGATCCTAGTTACTGTTTGAACTGTTTGGAATATACTGGATTAATCTTTGATAAAGAGAACATGTTTTTCATGTATTAAACTGATTGTTTTATTGGGAAACGAATCTATGTTTGGGATATACTGGATTGATCTCTCTGATAAAGAGGAGCCACTGTGGGTTTGGCCGATTTAGTTCATCAGAATTTTCCGACGTTGTTTCCCCGTGTCAGTTGTGCGGGAAGGAGGGCCTCGGAAGGACGGCTATCTAGTCATTCGGATGGGGCGAAAGACCAAGGTTCCATGTATACATTGGTATGCAAGTTAAAGACCCCTTGGCAGTTGTAGTTCGATATAAATTTAGGCAAAATTTCCCTCGTAGCACACTGTATGGCGTATGCCCGTCTTCATTAGCCCAGTTTAGGAGCAGAACAGTAGGACGTTAAACCTCATTTCATTTCATATATATGATAAAGATGTTGTACTGTGATTTATCTCCTAATACGACCTAGTTTGTGTCGAGCGGACGTTAAGCCCTGTTTATCTCGTTCTCTAGGACACTGACGTCACAACTAGACCGATCCCGTTTGAATCAGTACGTGACCGACCAGAATAGTTTGTTGGGTCGTTCGAGTGGTACGACAAACAGACATCCTATGTACAAATTGGTCGGGCACGTAATTGGTGCACATAGAGCTGAAATTTGAAGGAGAATGAGCGCAAACCATTCTCAACGCCTTGCACACAGTCGTAGATCTATACTAATATTAGTGACTGTCGTTTGTTTCTCTGTCTGTCTACTCCCGAGTTGGTGTCTACACTGGGAGTATCCGGAGGCTGAAATGTGGTGTATCGGGATAGTTCGGACCGGGGAGTAACATAAGCCTGGTGGTGATAGACTATCACTTCCGGTTTCAGATTTATGTACTTCCGGTTCATGGCTATACCCCGTGTTACGTCGTGTCAACCACTAGTATATCATAATAAAGGAGAATGAGCGGAAATGCCGTGTTCGAGGTACGATTCTCAAATCGTTCACACCGTCGTATATATATCACAACATTAATATATGTTAGTCTTGATGTAAGGACGAGCCATTAAAGACACATTATGTAAGAGTTAAATCTGCTTAGTGGAGGTCTTTATTTCAGCTTCAAGTGATATAAATTGTTTTTGTTTTTTTTCGACATTTATTCACCGGACTAGCTCCATAACCAACTCTCTAGACCATCGGAGGGCGCAGATGTAAACAGATTGAGATACGATCGCCATTTAATGATTTAATTTAAAAATGGAGAAACCAGGCTGAGTCTCGATTAAAAAGTAACGCTTCTGCGATAATAAACATTCTAAGTCAAAACATCGCTCAGAATAAAGTAATTTGAATGAAATTTTCAATATATTCATTTTGAATTATCTATTCTGGAAGTATTATAACAAGAATGATCAGTTCTTTATCGTACATAATGATGTTTAAGCCCCATTTGATTCCAGCTACCGTCATCGATTCGTGTGTACTTGTGACGTCAACCAGTAATGAGTGTTCGGCCAGTGAAAAACGTTACGCGCATGGAGCTGGACTCACGTAGGTATGCAAACGAATATGTTTCTTGTCTCATATATTGAATTTTCCACCATTTTTCGAGGCTCTGTGTATATTGTTGATTGCTCTGATGCAATATTCTGCTTGATTTGTTGTACATCTGCCACAAAAATCGATTGAAAACTTTGCCTGGACTGAGAAGTTCATGGAGTGGAAAGTAACGCCATCTATCTAGTATCGTACGTCGGATTGCGAAACCGCGTGATAAAGGATACGAAAACGTAAACGAACATATGTTCGTTTTGGTCTTCGTTTTCGTACCGATGCGAAAGGTCCCTATAATATCCCAGAATTTCAGTAAGAAAAAACCTTATATATACCCTGGAAGAATAACCCGTTGCAGGTTTCAAGAAAAAATTGCAGAAGAATAACTCAAAATTCCCCTGTATATATTCAAAGCCACCCACGGCTTTCAGACCGCAAGTTATTCTGGGCATAGAATATACCCCAAAGATCAAAGAGATTTATCGTTATAGGTGTAAATCTAAACTAATAGAAAAACTCACCATTTAAATCACCGACGCCGTCTCCGTCGGAATCCTGGAACGACCTCGGATAAATCTGATACACAATGGTTTTCTGCCACCATTTTTGATCTGGTGGAAATCGTCCTCGAACATTCATGGCCAATAGTGCCACAACTATCAGAGCCGTAATTCCCAATGCCACCACAAAAAATAGAAATATCAGACACTTATTTGTTGCGCAACATCCTGTTTTCTTTGAACTAAATTCCACCTTGGGACTCATTTTCAACTTCTCAACTTCTTCTTGTTCTTGTGAATATTGCGTCGAATCATAAAATATAGGTCACAGTTTTTATTGCGAGTCTCAAACTTCGGTATAAGTATGCTAAAAAGAATCTTAGATCCTGGAAAAACAGATTATTTCTAAATAAAACCCACAGGATTGCGATGTTCTGTTATCGCCGGACTTAGGAATCAGCTGCATACATCGTAATAACAGTACGAATTGTGTGTGTATTATTCGTGACTATATCGATTGTGATAAAAAGGAGAATAAACACATATGTATATTATATAGTAGATGTGTTTGTTATCATTTAAGATACAAAATTTACATTTTAATAATTTACTGTTAGTTACACAGTTATTTGACCCTGTTAGATATATATATAATATATATATATATATATATATATATATATATATATATATATATATATACTATATATATATATATATATATATATATATATATATATAATTTACTTATTAAATTAAACGAATGATAATATTGATGAAACTTATCAAATTTATAATAAACTCCGTTAAACATGGTTGGGGGGGGGGGAGGCGAATGGTTAGCGCGTGCGCGGCTGTATCATAAAGTCTGCCATTGAGTCAACTGGCGTGGTTACGATTCCCTGGTTGTACGAGATAAGGGGTAGGGTCCCCTGTCCAACCTCGTGGGTTTTCTCCCTGGTTCTCCGGTTTCCTTCCATTGCTAAAGACCCCTACGCGCAAGCGAATTATTGAAATAAAATTGAACCATGTGTTAGTCCCGAAATGACCTAGTTTGTGTCGAGTGGACGTTAATCTCTCTCTCTCTTTCCTCCCCCCCCCCCCCATTAAACATACATTATGCAAGAGCTAAATCTGCCTATTGCAAGTCTTTCTTTAGGCCTGAAATGTTATTTGAATGATTGATTACACATTTATTAACATTAAAACATTTTAATCAACTCTCGATGTCATCTCATGTGTCCGATTTTATCGTACTGACTTTAGTAATGATGATCCTGGCTAGGCCAAAAATCAAACACGAAAATCTCGGTTCAGAGTGGATCAAATTGACTGAAATTTTCAGCATATTCCCTTTTACAGTATCTCGTTTTTATCTATTATAGTGAGCACTGTCGGTTCTTTATCTAATCTTCCATAGTGCCGCTTTAAAGAAATAAGTCAATTAATATATCATATCGTAAAAGATGGGTGGGGATCATAATAAACTCTTTGGAACCACCGTGACTCACTGAGTCAGACGTTGGCTCGCTAACTTGGGGGTCCCGTGTTTCTACAGACGTAGGTCGAGAATGTTCCCACGTGGTTTCCCTTGTCAGTGATACAGGGCACAGGGCCTGACAATAGTCCGCGCATAGTCTCGTGTATGTCATGCACCTTAAAGATCACTCGGCCGTTTGCATTCGATATAAGAGAAGGTCGTAGCGCCGCTGTTCGGGATGTCGCATGTCCATCTTTATTTGCCCAGTCGGAGAAGAATAGTAGGAAATTAAACCCCATTTCATTTCATTTCTAAATAAACTTCGGAAGGCTGGACGTAAAACCTCCCTTCATTTCGTATTTAAATGCGACTGTCATACATGTGTGTAATGAGTGTTTTTACCGACGAACGATATCCAATTTACACGCGAAGTTATAATTAATAATTAGAAATTCCGAGATTGCTCCAGCTCTTCCGGTAACACACACACACACACACATTGCTAAAGACCCCTTTTATAAATGAAATTGAACCTTATGTTAGTCCCGAAATGACCTAGTGTGTGTCGAGTGGGAGTTACACCCCATTTCTCTCTTTGTCTTACCATGATAGTGATTCTCAACCAGTGTGCCGCGAAATTCTGAACGGCACACTAAGACAATGCGAAAAGCCACTTGATCCCAATTGAGTATTCACTGGTGTCCGCTCGACTTCCAGGGAATGCAGCTTGCCAACGTGTGTTCTCTAAGTATCAGAAATGAATACAGATTCTTGGATCTTCAACACTTTATTTCAGGAGCAAATAATTAACATATAATTATTGAAGTATTAAGACTTAAGGCATTTAAAACAATAGTTAGAAGAAACTTAACAAATCAACCACTTTAGTTGCCAGTCTGTCATAATTTGACTGACAGGTTAATTGCTGTCTGCCTCTAATGACTAACGAAGCATTAATGAATATTAAAATATAGATTTGAAAACTAAAACAGAATCCAAAAATGATAAAATAACATATCACCTAGACATCGGTCATAGTCTACTGGTACGTTCATAGCTTTATTTAGTTTGAGTCAATCTATATGTCTATCACTAGTCTGTGTCTACGATTGTCTGCCGTCTATGACTTACCATGTTTTTATTTTGCAAAAATCAGATATTTTTCATATATATTTAGCCAGGTGTGCTGCTATTTTTTCATGTGTTCCAAGGTGTGCCGTTGGCAAAAAAAGGTTGAGAACCACTGCTCCAAGACGTTATCAATTCTAGATCGAAAGATGGGTTAAACAGTGAGCGTCGTGGGCGTCCACTGCGCTGTACAGTCCCGGGCATGTAGTGATACAGAGTTCACTCAAAATTGAAAGACAAACAATCATGAACATAGCCTAGAAATGGTTCCACTACTGATGTCTTCCGTCTTACTCCAGCCACAGTAGTGGACGTCCAAAGATCTTCAAGTTTTGTAGTCAATTGACTAAAATGGTTACTGACCTATAACTCCTTTAATTTCCAATAACACTGACCCCAAACAGTACTGTACATCCTGACATATAATAAACCAATTCCTATTGAAATAAAGGTGAAACCTTACCGTATAATTATATGATTTGATTAAACCCAACTGCTATGCGAAATTTATGTTCAGATTAAAATGGCCGCCGAACCAGAATCACGGGGTGCCATGTCACTCGAAAAACTGTTCGGTAAGATAAGATTATGATTTCAGTGTTCAACTCTTCACTATATGTAACATAATTACTTATTTCCATGCAAACTGTGATGTTATATGTTGAAAAGCTTGCAATTGAACCTAATTTTACTGGCTCAAAGCCTCGAGTAGTGTATCAATTGCATCCGCAGATAAGAATTATCACGGCTAAAAAATGAAGCTAGAATATAACCCAGAGAAAAACATTGTGTAATACCAGCACGAGTTATGATCTACTATATACCACATGAACTATGAATGTAACCTTAATGAAGTAAAGAAATACCTATACACGTAACGATGGCAACTTGCCACTCGAATGTGTGTAAAATGGCGCAGTATTTTGAACTGTGTATAATGAAGAATGCTATGCTATATCAGTGGTTCTCAACCTTTTTGGCCACCTTGGAACACATGAAAAAATAGCGGCACACCTAGCTAAATATATATGAAAAATATTTGAATTTTGCAAAAAAAAACAAAAACATGGCAAGTCAGGCGGAATACAACCGTAGACAGAGACTAGTCATAGACACATAGAATGACTCAAACTAAATAAATAAAAACACAACTACGAACTTGAGAATGACTGTGCTATATGATCATTGGCCTAGATGTAGATCAAAATAATAAAAAAAAATATACTAATAATATTATGCGGTACGATCATTGGTCGAGATGTAAAGCAGGATAATGATTACAAGACTAAAAGTAAAAATAAATCGGTAAAAACAGAATTTTTTTTTTTTTTATGCTATTTGTGTTCGAACCCTCTGAGTAGAAGTTGGCACCCCGCGTTGGCCGAGAAATTTCATCTGGATTTTTCTGACATGGTCTTCTCTCCCCTACCCCCATTGTCAGTGATGTGGAGCGGAGGGCCTGCCAAAGGGACAATGTATAGTCGTTCGGATGGGGCGAAAAACCGAGGTTCCGTGTACACATTGGTTTGCACGTAAAAGAACCCTCGACTATTAGAATTTAAAATAAGAGTAGGTCGTAGCGCTGCTGTCCGGGAACAATTTTCCCTCATAGGGATTCCGAATTCCATCCGAACAATTCCAAAATTCAAAAAGCAGCTTTCATGAATGCACTTTCGTCACTTTGTACCATTGTGTTTTGTGGAATCAAGAGGAATCAACTAGCGCTCCCGAAAACAAAAATGGGACATTTTTCAATGAAAATATTCCTACTTATTCATTATTCCTAACTGGTTAATCAAATGGTCAAAATTTTCTCAACTAGTCCTATTTTTTAACCAGTTAAATTCTCTTGATCTCAACTCTTGACTCTTGACGATACAATGATAATACGTTAATTAATAATTTCACAGGTTGATGGATGGAAATTACTTGCAGGTCGGGGTTTTGGCCTAAATTAATCGATTTATGAGATATATTATTTGACAGAGATTATAATCAGATATGCCAACAAATTGCATATTTGGGGTTCATGTTTCTAAATTTTTCAGGAGGGAGAGCCCCCGGACCCCCCGTCCGAGCTCCGCGGTCAGTAAAAGGGGCCGCTCTGACACGGGATCCCGGGCCGGTTCGCGGCCCCAATCCGCCCCTGTGGGGGTCCACTCTATTCCTATAGATGTCCAGAGGGGTCAGGGGTGGGGGGAGGCACCAAGGAGTCCGCTTTATTCCTATACACGCCCAGAGTGGTCTGGGGTGTGGGGAGGTTCCGATGGGTTCACTCTATTCCTAAACACGTCCAGAGGGTCAGGGGTGGGGCAAGTACCGAGGGGATCCACTCTAATCCTATACACGTCCAGAGGGGTCGTGGGGGGGGGCGGTCCATTCTATTCCTATACATGTCCAGAGGGGTCGTGGGGGGGGGGAGGGTCCAGGGGTCCATTCTATTCCTATACATGTATGCAACTACAAGCAGAAGTATTATCTATGTCAGAGCTTCTGAATTTATCAAATTCTCGTCTCTACACAGAACCCTTCCCTGACAACATAAATTAAAAGAGATAAATAGAGAATCTCCTACCAGTCTTTTTTGATATCAAAAAATATCAACACAAGTTGATAAAGTAACAAAAAACGAGGCTCTGCCGAGTTTTTTTTTTACTTTATCAACGAGTGTTGATATTTTTTGATATCAAAAAAGACGAGTAGGAGATTTTATTTATCACCCAATCCCTTCTTACATGCACAAATAGATAAATATAATTCTTTGCTGTAGATTTCACTTTTACTGAACATTATGGCGTAGTGATACATCAATTTTTGACAGCAATTTAATCATTGCAAATTCCTTTATATTTACCCAGTGTTTCCTTCAAGGTCAATTGAATAACAATAGTTCATTTTTAATTTTAAAAAGTTACTTTTATTAATGAACTGTTCTTTGAAAATCAAAAAAAGTAGTTCCTTTTCAACTGACCAATCAAATTCATGTAAAGCGATATCTCCTAAGGAGATATCGCAGTAGATTATGAAATATATCACACAAGCGATATCTACTGTAGAATGTATTATTGGGTGATAAATGGTGTTTAACACCCACTCGACATAAACCAGGTCATTTCGGGACTAACATATGGTTCTATTTTATTTCAATAATTCGCTTGCGCGTAGGGCTCTTTAGCAGTGGAAGGAAACCGGAGGACGCGGAGAAAACGCACGAGGTTGGACAGGCGACCGATGCGCAATTGCCCAAGGAACAAGCATGCCATGTTTCATGTCGATCGTAACTGCATGGGTGAAGCCTTAGGCCTGTTTTTTTGTTGTTGTTTTTTTTTAAATGAGGAGAAATACTGTCTCACTGGGTCTGATGTAAAATTTTCGGGTAATCCCCTAGACCTCATGCCGAACTGGGCGATGTCCCCACACTGGACCCACTGCTGTTCATATTCTTGAACATGCCCTGATGCGCCATCATTTCTATTTATTTTATTGGTTAGATAAACGAGATGTCACGTAGTAGATAACCCAATCAAAGATAACAGAAGTGTCATCTAATGTCAAGTTAAACTACGTGTGATTATAGAAGACGAGTGGAGAATATATGGTATTTAACTTAACGACAGTCGACATTATCCATATAAGGTAAATGAAATGAAAAAAACACAACACAATTTATATGGAATACAATCACTGGTTTATACACATATAGCACCAAGTATTCTCTTACCGTTATCAGGGGATCACGTGGCTAAGTGGGTGAGACGCTAGCTCGCTAGCCTGGAGATCGGGTGTTCGATCCCTGCATTGGCCGAGAAAGTTCATCCAGAGTTTCCGGCGTGGTTCTCCCTTGTCAGTGATGCAGGACGGAGGGGCTGACAAGGAAAGCTGTCTAGTCGTTCGGATGTGACGAAAAACCGAGGTCCCGTGTACACATTGGCGTGCACGTAAAAGATCCCTTGGCAGTTGGAATTCGATATAAGAGTAGGCCTTAGTGCCGCTGTCCGGACAAAATTTCCCTCATAGCACACTGTATGGCGTATGCCCGTCTTCATTAGCCCAGGTTAGGAGCAGAACAGTAGGACGTTACACCCCATTTCATTTCATTTCATTTGATCATGAATTTTGTATTTGATAACGATAAGAGAATACTTGTTGAAACGTTGTGCTATATGTGTATAAACCAGTGATAGTATTCCATATAAATTATGTTGTGTTTTTTAATGTGCTCAATAACTAAATGCCACTCAAGGATTATAAATGAAATGAACGGGGGGGTTTAACGTCCTACTTTTCTGCGCCGACTGGGCTAATGAAGACGGGTTTACGCCATACACTGTGCTGTGAGGGAAATTTTTCCCGGACAGGAAGTGACGCTGCCGTTTACTTTTATTTAAAATTCCAAATGTCTAGGTTTCTTTTACGTGCACGCCAATCCTTACAACTATACGTTGTCCCTTCTATAAGGTGATTGTTTAGGTGCAGAAGGGAGGCGGATGACATTGAGAGTAACACATCGTAATTATTGTAAATGAGTCTGGTACACGAAGCAGTGTATGCTTAGATGTTTTGATTTTAGTCTTGTATTTTAAATAAATTATTCTAATGTTTGATCCACATTACTGTTAGTAAATTGTTCAATTAGCTAAGTCGCTTTGATTTAGGGAAAGAAAGAAAGAGCGAGGGAGAAACTAAAAAGAGTTTAACGTCACTCGACACAAGTTAGGTCATTTCGGGACTAATATATGGTTCAAATTTATTTTGATAATTCGCTTGCGTGAGGAGCAAACCGGACAACCCGGAGTAAAGCCCCAAGGTTGGACAGGACTCGTGTCACATAAAGCGTAATGTATCTTTAATCCGGTCCTGACCACGGGGGGGGGGGGGGCTGAATGGTTAGCGTGTGCGCGCAGCATCATAAAGTCTGTCATTGAGTCAACTGGCGTGGTTTCGAATCCCTGGTTGAACGTGACAAGGAGTAGGGTCGCCTGTCCAACCTCGTGGGTTTTCTCCGGGTCCTCCGGTTTCCTCCCACTACTAAAAACCCCTACGCACAAGCGAATTATTGAAATAAGGTTAAACCATATGTCGGTCCCGAAATGACATGTGTCGAGTGGACGTTAAACCTCTCTCTCTCTCTCTCTCTCTCTCTCTCTCCCTCTCTCTCTCTACTCTCGTCCTAGATGTTGTATATTGCTGGAGAGAGCCATGGTGGCTAAGTGGGTAAGACGCTGGCTCGCTAGCCTGGAGGTCACGTGTTCGATTCTTGCATTGGCCGAGAAAGTTTATCGGGATTGTCCGGCGTGGTTTCCCCTTGTCAGTGGTGCAGGACGGAGGGTCTGACAAGGACAGCTGTCTAGTCATTCCGATGGGAGGAAAACCGAGGTCCCGTGTTTACATTGGCGTGCACGTAAAAGATCCCATGACAGTTGGAATTCGATATAAGAGTAGGCCATAGTGCCGCTGCTCGGGCAAAATATTTTCCTCATAGCATACTGTATGGTGTATGCCCGTCTTCATTTTCCCAGTCGGAGAAGAACAGTAGGACGTTAAACCCCATTTCATTTATATTGCAGGAACATGATCGCTGTTTTTCTGTTGGTGGCGCTATCTGTAAATACAGAATGTACCGAAGAAATACCAAAAAGATGTCAGATCGTTCATCAGAACAAATATACTGATGTTCCATGTGCAGGCTTGGGTGATTATAGATATGGTGAACTTCCTGAAGC